TCTTCAAAACACAGTTAGTCCAAAACTACTAAGAATACTTATCAAAGAGGAGCCCTCCCTGGTGGCGCAGTGAGTTAAAGCACAGCACTGAGAAGCTAAAGTCACTTCAGCATGAGTTCAATCCCCTCCCCAGAGGTGACCCACATGGCGCGGCAGACCTCTCCTGACCCACCCACTGCTCCCCTCAGCAGTGTACTTCATCTGTCCGCCTGCTCTGCTCCCCACTCTGTCGCTGGTGAAGCCTCTCACCGTCCCTGCGCCTCTGGCCTGTACCCCAGTTCTGTATGCATAAATACATATTTTTTTAAAAAAGAGCAACATGGATAGATCTTGAGATCATTATGCTAAGTGAGATAAGTTGGACAGAGAAGAGAGAGATAAATAAGAAAGACAAATGCAGTATAATCTCACTTTTATGTGAGGGCTTCCCTGGTGGTGCAGGGATCAGGTCTCAGCACTATCAAGCTATTGCCAACCACTGGAGCTTGACTTCAACCACTGGCCAGGGAGGTGACCCACGTGGCTTGGCAGACCTCTTCAATAGTTTACTTTGTCAATCTGCCTGTTCTGCTCCACACTCTCACCCCTCACACCTCTAACCTACACCACACCCCAGTTCTTGTATGCACAAATAAAGACAAATATTAAAAAAACGAGACAAAACAACAACAAAAAAGAACCAGCTGGTATTGAGAACTGATTGGGTGGTTGCAAAAGGGGCTAGCATGGGAGGGGATGGCAGGAAAGAAAAGCCTTTTTTTTTTTCCGAAAAGGGAAATGGGTCCCAGCCCTGTGCTGGGCTCCCAGTCTTGCCAATTTGATTCTGCAGTTTCATTCATTCATCCCCACGGTTTTAGATTCCATGCCCATGCTGAGCAAGCCAAAATGTGTCCTTCCCATCCTGGGGTCTTCTCCAGCTCTGGACTCGGACAGAGAACGGTCCCTTGTGGTCCTACATGGAGGTCAGGGTCCAACAGCTTCTGGTCATTCTTCCGCTACATCTGAGCCTCCCGCAGCTTTCCCATCGTTCAGTCTTTTCGTCTCCAAATTAGGGCCAGAGCCTCCTCTCTGACTTCGCTTCCCCACAGGCTGTTCCTCACAGGACCGCCAGAGGGCGTCCGTGAACGCTGCGTCAGGTCCCCACCCATTCCCAGATCAGAACCCTGGTTCCAGGCTCCCACCCCAGTCAGAGCAAAAGTTCAAAACCTCCCACAATGCTCTGCCAGGCTCTCCACCCATCAGCTTCCTTCCCTCGTCTCCTCCCATTCACCACCACATAGGCGACCGCACTGTCCCTTGGAGATGCCGATCGATCACATTCCCTCCTCAGGGCCTCTGCCTTGACTGTTCCCTCCACCTGAAATGCTCTTCCCTAGAATCTTGAACCTCTATTTCCTTTGTGGTTTATCACCTCTTAGGTGGGCCTCTCTGATCACTTAAATATAAGTGCAAGGGACCTTTGTCTGGAACTCAACTATCAGTGCTGCATAAATGTTTTTTTGAAGAACAGTTGGGTGTTGCCTGTACCGGCCTGCCTCCTTCCTAAACAAGCGGCCCTAGGAGGCAGCTAGGAGCCATCCCCACTCACCTCTCTCTGCAGCGCTTCCTTCTCAGCCTGGGTAGCCTGCAGGGAGACCTGCATTCGAGTGAGCTCGTCTTCTCGGCTGCTTAGGGCCAGGCGCAACCAGGCATTCCTCTCTGCCAGGCGGGCAGCCTCCCGCTGGCAACCCCCGGCCCTCTCCTGTTCCAAGCAGGGCCGTGGGCCGCCTTCATTTCTGCCCTCCACCTCCACGGGCTCAGGGCAGCTCTGGGGCTGGAGGCGCCAGGCAGCAGCTGTGGCCTCCAGGGAGCTCAGAGCTTGATGCAAAGTCTGAAACACATCCCCAGGCTCCAGGGAGACTGTCTCCTTGCCCTGCTGGACAGCCTCTGGGGCCTGGTGGACTTCTGCTGCCCCATGGGGCCCTTTGGGGGCAGAGGCCAGTTTCTTGTTAGCATCCCCACCAGCTTCTTCCTTAGTCCTATGAAGTGGTGAGAGACGGAAGGTTTTAGAAATGGGCCAGCTGGGGTGGCGGGCACACAGGGGCCAAGGCTGCGTCATGCAGGACTTTGAAATGCAGGCAGAGGAGGACAGCAGGGAGCCATGCTGTGAGTGTGCGCACAGGGGAAGGACATCGGCAGATCCACAGGCGCAATGGGAAATGCGCCAGAGTGGAGCGGGGGCAAGGACCTAGCATGCCTTACCTGCTGCCCAGGCTCTGCACAGCAGTCTTTGCCTCTGGGCCCAGCTCCAGCTTGCCGCTCTCCTGTAATGGCGCAGGGCCCAGCTCAGAGCTGCCACTGACTGCCTCTGCCTCCTCTGAACTCTCTGCCACAGGGTCCAGCTCAGCCTACAAATGAACCCCACAATCCAGCGCTGAGCCAGGCAGGGCTGGACCTGGGGTCCCACACAGCTGGGTGTGGCCGAGAGGGACGACACTTACAGGCAGGGCGTGCCTCCCTCGCCGGCTTCGGGGCCGGGCGGCCCGGGTGCTCATGCTGTCCAGAAATCAATGTCTAAGGAATCTTCCTCCTTCCTCACCTGTTAAAACCTGGTCTTGTCTTTGTTGTTTGGAGCAAATGGGAGCCTCTATTTCCTCTTCTGCGAAATGGGCATTTCTCCCTCCAGAAGGGTCTTGGGTGGGAAATACTGATTCGGCACATTTGAATGCGACCCTGGGCAGGCAACTCACTGCCTCCCAGTGTTTCCCTGACCTCTCCCTTTCCCTCTGCCTCCTTTATGGTTCATACCTCTGTGCCCTGTTGCCCCCCTATCTGGACCTAGGACATGGACTTCAAGAGTCCCTTCTTTGGGCCCTCCCTGGTGGCACATTGGGTTAAAGCACAGCACTATGAAGCTAACTGCACTTGCAACAGCTTCAGCATGAGTTCAATCCCTGGTCAGGGAGCTGACCCACATGGCACAGCAAACCTCTCCTGACCTGCCAGCTGCTCCCCTCAGCAGTGTACTTCGCAGTCTGCCTGTTCTGCTCCCCACTCTGTCTCTGGTGAATCCTCTCACCAACCCTGCACCTCTGGCCTGTACCTCAGTTCTATATGCATAAATAAATAAATATTAAAAAAAAAAAGTCCCTTCCCCACACCAGGGGCCTCCCGAACTGGAGCTCCTAATCCCTGGGCTGGATCCCCTCAGTATACTCTCCTCTGTCTTTCTGGGAGTACCTTGGTCAGAGGCCTGATTCTCTGAACACTCTTAGGATCACTCTGGCTACTGCTTGTTCAGGCCTGGGCTGGCCAAGACTGGCCTGGGAGGGGCCAGGAAACAGGAAGCCCCCTCCCCTCATCACATGACTTGTTATTGTGCAGTTTCCTCTTCAAGGACAGTGGCTTCCTTTGGTCCCAGTGGGGAATATGTGTCCAGCTCTTGATGCCAATCCCTCCTCATCGAAGTTTCCCAGCTTATGACTCCTCCACTTCCGACGCTTGGACTTTGTTGCCAGAATGTTCCACTGGGCTGAGGCTTGTCACCTCGTCCTCTGTGAGCTTATTCACCTGTCCCTATAGTGTCGGTCACAGTGTTCATTCAATTATAGACAGATCTGGAATGGAAAACCTTGAGCAAGTGATATCCCACTCTGAGCCTGTTTCCTGAGGTGGGTATAATTATAGCATTTTTCTATAGTGTCATGGGAATTTCAGCAAGCAATTTGCACATGGCCAGGCACCATCAGGCAGCTGAATTATAATGCCTGCTCTTGCTCCTTCTCTGGCTGTCCTATTTCTGCTTCCTATGCCAGCTGCTGTTTCCCCTGCTTAAGTGCTAGTTTCCTCAGAGCCTAGATGGTCTCTTCATCCTGCCCATTTTTCCTACATACACCTCTAATGGACCTCTCCTCCTTTTTCTACTTAGGCACCAGAGATCTCACTGCTCACCCTTCTTGCTCATATACTTTCCCTCCATGGCTTCCCATTGCCCCTGGGAGACACTACAAGCTCTTCAGTCTGGAGTTCAAGACCTTTAAAAATCATACCCAGTACCTGCATCCATGTATACACCATGCTTTAGCTAGGATGAGCCACTCTTCCGACAGCTGAGGGTTCTCAAGTCTTTCACACCCCGGAGCCCTTGGCAAGGTTGTTATCTCTGCCTGAAACACTCTCTCTTCTAGAACTGGTTTGAACTCTGTAGAGACTGGAGTAGCAGGAATATTCCTGGTCCCACTGACAGATGTCTCAAGGATGAAGCTTCTTCTGTGTCAAAAGGTGATAGGGAAAGAAGTTGCAATTCTCTAACTTGAGGGTACCCAGCAGGATTGATCCACATGCTCAGCTCCAGTCAGATCAACCTACTAAAGTTACCTCTACTCTGAAGCTATTCCAAACTTCCAGACCTTTATTTTTAGTCTAGAATGCTTTCCCTTTTGCTTTTCTCATAAATTCTCCATCCTTCAAGGCTCAAATTACACAGTCCCTCTTGCCTACCATTGAATAAGGGCTTAACTATTTTTTTAAAGATTTATTTATTTGGGCCCTCCCTGGTGGCGTAGCGGGTTAAAGCACTGCACTGAGAATCTGAAGCCGCTTCCGCAAGAGTTCAATTCCCACCTGCCCCGGAGGTGACCACATGGCGTGGCAGACCTCTCCTGACCCACCCACTGCTCCCCTCAGCAGTGTACTTCGTCGATCTGCCTGTTCTGTTCCTCACTCTGTCTCTGGTGAAGCCTCTCACCGCCCCTGAGCCTCTGGCCTGTATCCCAGTTGTGTATGCACAAATAAATAAATCTTAAAAAAAAATAATAAAAATAAATAAATAAATAAATAATAAAAATAATAAAAAATAAAATAAAATAAAAATAAAAATAAAAGATTTATTTATTTGTGCATACAGAACTGGGGTACAGGCCAGAAGCTCAGGGGCAGTGAGAGGCTTCACCAGAGACAGAGTGGGGAACAGAACAGTCAGATCGACGAAGTACACTGCTGAGGGGAGCAGCAGGCGGGTCAGGAGAGGTCTGCCACACCATGTGGTCACCTCCGGGCCAGGCGGGAATCGAACACATGTGGAAGCGGCTTTAGATTCTCAGTGCTGTGCTTTAACCTGCTGAGCCACGAGGGAGGGCCCAGGGCATAACTATTTTTCAAACAAAGAAACAAAGGCTCAGGTCTTCCTTGGTGGTGCAATTAAAGCACAGCACTGTGAAGCTCAGCACTAGTTCAATCCCAGCCAGGGAGGTGACCCACATGGCACAGCAGACCACTCCTGACTAGTCCGCTGCTCCCCTCATCAGTATACTTCAGACAATCTACCTGTTCTGCTCTCTTCTCCGCCTCTGGTGAATCCTCTCACCACTCTTGCAGTTCTGGCCTGTACCCCAGCTCTGTTTGCATAAAGAAATAAATCTTAAAAAAAAAAAGAAAGAAAGAAAGAAAAAGAAACAAAGGCTCAGATTGATTTTTTTTTTAAGATTTATTTCTTTATGCATACAGAGCTGGGGTACAGGCCAGAGGTGCAGGGGTGGTAAGAGGATTCATCAGAGACAGAGCAGAGAGCAGAACAGTTGGACTGATGAAGTACACTGCTGAGGGGAGCAGTGGGCAGGGCAGGAGAGGTCTGCCGCGCCATGTGGGTCACCTCCTGGGCCGGGGATCGAACTTGTGCTGAAGTGGCTTTGTCTTCTTAGTGCTGTGCTTTAACCTGCTTCGTCACCAGGGAGGGCTCTCAGATGGATTTTTAAATGGAAATTGGGAAGCCTCTCCGGTGGAGCAAAGGGTTAAAGTCTCAGCGATATCAACCTATCACTAGCCATGGCACCTTTGTTGAACCCACCGCCAGGAAGTTGATTCACATGGCGCAGCAGATCTTTCCTGCTTTGCCGACTGATCCGCTCAGCAAAGGATTTCAGTAGATTTGCCTGTTCTGCCCACTCTCACTCTGTCTCTGGTGGATAATCTTTTCCCTATTCTCCTTACTTCTGGCCTACACCCCAGTTCTTGTATGCATTTAAAAAAATCCTAAAAAAAAAAAAAAAAGAAAATGGTAGGCTCTCCCTGGTGGCACAATGTGTTAAAGCGCAGCACTGCAATCTGGCTACAGTCGCTTGTATGCGAGTTCATCCCCAGCCCCGGAAGTGATCCATATGGCTGGCAGACCTCTCCTGACATGCCCACTGCTCCTTTTAACAGTGTACTAGATCAATCTGCATGTTCTACTCTCCACTCTGTCTCTGGTGAATCCTCTCACTGCCCCTGAACCTCTGACCTGCACCCCAGTCGGTATGCATAAATAAATAAATCTTTTTTTTAAATGATAATTGGGCTAAGAGGACAAGTGTGCATAAAGAAGAAAGGGTAGTATTTTTTATTTTTGCAAATATATGTAAAGTAAGGAGTATAATTAAATAACCCAGAGGGACCCTGGGACGTGGGTCACGCCTTCAAACCTCCCCCAACCTGACCAAAATCAAGATCAGCTCCACTAACCTCACCAATCACCAATTAGAAATGTCTCTTCCCTCCTCCCCCAACTCAATCCCACTCATTTGATATATAGCATGCTCGGCCTTTCCCATTATATCCCATTGAAAACCCTACTCCAGCCCTCGCTGGTGGCGCAACGGGTTAGGATGCAATACTGCAAGCTGACCATAGCCTCTTCAGTGCAAGTTCGATGCCCTGCCCCAGAGGTGACCCACATGGAGCAGCAGACCTCTCCTGTCTCTCCCACTGCTCCCCTCAGCAGTGTACATGATCGATCTGCCTGTTCCACTCCCCACTCTGTCTTCAGTAAAGCATCTCATCATCCCTGCACCTCTGGCCTGTACTCCAGTTCTGTATGTATAAATACATAAATCTTCAGCATCCAGAAATATTGAAAGATCCGCCCGCTATTGTTTTAGCCAATCACATTCAAGGTCCCGCCTCACTCACTGTCCATCACATTCAAAATCCCACCCCAATACAGTTCCAGCCTATCCGTTTCCAAGGCTTTCTCGCGTCATCCCGCGGACACTGTAGTCCTCTGAACTACATTTCCCAGGAGGCCACGTATCCGTACACGCAATTTCCGGCTGCGAAGATGGCGGCGCCCTAGGGAGTCGGCTCAGGAGTTGGAGGGTGATTCAGGTTACGGTGAGAATTAGGTGGTGAAAGCTCGCTGGACCCATCCCTATCATCCCGAGAGGTCGAGCGTCCCCAGTCCAGAGGTCCAGATCGCCGCCTCATCTGAGGCTTCCGCCATCAGGTTTGGTTTTTTTCAAATCTCCCTCCCATTTGTTGCAGCTTAGGCTTTGTTTTCCTAGAGGTTGTATGGGACTGCAAGATACTCAGAGACCATCCCGGGCATCTCGCAGCCATTGGCCAGATAGGCAACCGTTACATTAGTGTCCTATCTTTCCTCAGAGGGAACTGTCATACCCACATCCACTGCCCTCCCTGTGCAGAGACCCTTTAGGCGCGAAGCGCCAACTGGGGAGAGTCGGAGCAGTCATTAATGCGTTATTTATTCGAACCTTTTCCGTTTCAGAAACAGAAAACCCAACTGAATCTTTATTAAGCAAGAAAGGGAAGTTAGTGGGTTATAGACTGGTTCAGGATAGCTGGAGCCAGGCCCTCAGAATTCTATGACCTGTCACTTCAGGCAGGCCCACTTTCCCAATTTGGAGTCAGAAGAGGCCTTTGGTAGATCTCGATTTTTATCCTAACACCTTCGCAACTCTAATGAGCCCTTCTTCCCAACAATATTATTGGGAATCTGGTAACTGCCCCATCTTTGATGTCTTCATTATCCAAGTGGGGGGGTGCAGGATTCTCCCTATTGGAAAAAATGGGACACTACTACTGACATCAGAGTGGATGGCAGGCTGAGAAGTTTAAAATGCACCCATTCCACAGATGAAGAAATTGAGGTCCAGAGGAGGGACTCTTATAGGCACTAAGAAATTCAGGCTCTACCATCCTATCTGGTAACCAAATGTTTTTAACATCCTAAAGAGGAACATCCTGGCTTCCCCCATTCCTGCTCCGTCAGTCCAATCAGGAGTCATGGAGGTGGCAGAATCCAGCAGTCCAACTGAAGAGGAAGAAGAGGAAGAGGAGCAGTCAGTTGAACCCAGGCCCCGCACACGCTCCAACCCTGAGGGTGCTGAGGACCGGGCACCCGGGGCTCAAGCCAGTGTGGGCAGCCGCAGTGAGGGTGAGGGTGAGGCAGCTAGTGCTGATGATGGGACTCCCAATGTCCCAGGAACAGGCCCGAAGCCCTGGCAGGTGCCCCCACCAGCTCCTGAGGTCCAGGTGCGGACACCAAGAGTCAACTGTCCAGAGAAAGTGGTAAGTAGGTCCTCCCTAGTAGTGCATTGGGTTACAGCACAGCACTATGAACAGTCACAGCTGTTTCAGTGCAAGTTCGAATCCCTGCTGGAGGTGACCCACATGGCATGGCAGACCCCTCCTGTCTCACCTGCTGCTCCCTTCAGCAGTGTACTTTGTTGTCTGCCTATTCTGCTCCCCACTCTGTCTCTGGTGAACCCTCTCACCCCCCTGCACCTCTGGCCAGTGCCCCAGTTCTGTGTCCATAAATAAATAAATCTTTAAATAAAAAAAAGAAGGGAAGAGGGAAGCTTGGACTGTGGTTCTAAGCCATTAGAGAACTTTTGGTTAAACATTCTTGTCAGTTGTAAACATTCCCGTATATTACTTTCCTAAGGCTGCTACTCTAAATTACTGCTAACTGGGCAATTTAGAACAACAAAAATATATTCTCTTATAGTTTCTGGAAGCTAGAAATCCCAAATCAATCTATTAGCAGTCTCATATGAGCTTTCCTGCCTCTTCCAGTTTCTGGGCATTCAAGGCATTCATAGCTGTATCAGTCTAGTCTCTATCTCTGTCTTCACTTGATCTTCCCCTCTGTGTGTCTCTTTTTTCCTGTCTTTTCACGTAGTGACATTATTCATTGAAACAAGATAATCCTACCTTGGTTAAGTCTGTAAAGACCCTAATTTCAAACAAAAGTACATTGGTGGACACATCTTTGGCAAAACTACAGTTCTACAACAGTTTTTTTTTGGCTCTGTGTCAGATGTCTGATTTATTTATTTGCTCATTAAGGTACTTTTCTCCTGAGCCTTCCAAAGTGGGTGGGAAGATTGGCTGGAAGGATAGTGGGTAGACTGGAAGTGGAGGAATTCACAGTGTCTTTTCAGAAAGGGTTGCTTCAAGAGCTCAGAGAGCTGAGAAAATGGTCTGGGGTTCAGGCTGGCTGCCAATCACAGTGCCCTCACTGCCCTCCTGCTTCCTTGCAGATCATCTGCCTGGACCTGTCAGAGGAAATGTCACTGCCAAAGCTGGAATCATTTAATGGGTAAGAGGGACATTTGGATATGTAGGCACATTGGGAGAGACTCAGCCCCCAAATATGGGTTCCTCTCTGAAACTCACAACTGCTTGGCCTGGCCTGGTCCCAGATAGTGCTAGAGAGTGGCAGTGGGAACTCCAGTGATACAGCCCATCTGTCCCATGCATGGGAGAGCTGTCGTTCACCACCCAGAGCAGTGACTTGGGCAGTTTGAGAAGCAAAGCGACTTGTTCAAGGCTTCATAGCAAATGGGCAGAGCCAGATTCAGTTAGTCTGACTCAAAACCCAGTCTAGTGGGGTCTCTGAGGTTGAGTGCAAGGCCTCATTGTGGCTGAATGAAGATGGGGGTGAGTGGCTCTCGGTAGATCAGCCGAGACCCAGCTGGCCAGAGGGACCCGTTTGGGAGAGAGCGGGTCAGAAGGCAAGTTTTTTTTTTTTTTTTTAAAGAAGGCAAGGTTTGTGGGGTATCCCATGAACCTCTTGCTTTATAACCTGAGCTGGATGCCTTTTATTCAGGCAGGGTGCCTTGCCTTAACCATACCCCTCACTCTTCATCCTTCCCCAGTTCCAAAACCAATGCCCTCAATGTGTCCCAGAAGATGATTGAGATGTTTGTAAGGACAAAACACAAGATTGACAAGAGTCATGAATTTGCACTGGTGGTGGTGAACGACGACACAGCCTGGGTGAGGCTGGGGCCAGATGGGGTCCCCTGGGTGCTGGGGAGCACCTAATTGAGACCTGTGCTTCCCTGCAGCTGTCCGGCCTGACCTCTGACCCCCGTGAACTCTGCAGCTGCCTCTATGACCTGGAGACGGCCTCCTGTTCCACCTTCAGTATCCTTCCAGGCAGGGGCACCCTGTGGAGGGGGTCAGCCTTTCTGAGGACCCTGGGAATCCTGATCCAGGGAGGAAGTTGGCTCAGGCTGGGTCAGGTCCAGCTGAGTTGAGATAGGCATGGGCAGATACCTCCCTGAGCTTCAGTTCCTCGTCTGTAAAATGGGGCACAAAGCCTACTCCACAGGGTGGCTGTGAAGATAAAGTTCTCTTCAGCCAATTGGACTCTGGGTGTCAAAATGCATCCACCTGGGGAGCACTTCATGCTTTGAGTATACAGTAAGTGTTCTATAAGTGCAATGTGTGTCTGCAAAGTTGCAATCACCATTACAGGCTCCTTCATCCCTGGCACAGCACATTCTATGCTAATGTGATTATTAAAGGTTCCTATATAGCCCCCAGTTCGAATAGAGTATGATCCCTGTGAGTTAAAAACATAAACAGCGGTGAGGATTGGGAGGATACGGCAGGGGCCCCTTTGGTTTTTCACTGTAAGGAGGGTAACCCTGGCCCCAAGGGAAAGGGGAACTTGGAGTCACCAAGGGTCTTGTATGCAGCCAGTGCCAGCCCCGTGTTTTGTGATCTGTGCAGTGGGAGCATTGAGACTCAGAGAAGCCAAGCAGTTCAGATGGGTCACCAGTCTCTGGCACAGTGGTGCCTGGCAGTGACTCGGAGCCCCTCGGCTCCTCTGGCAGTTAGGTTGAGGCACCCACCCCTGCCCACCTGTGTTCTGCCACCAGTTTTCTCCTTAGCACCCCTGCCAGATCTGGAAGGTCTCTTCAGCCTCATGTGAGTCCCCTGCCCCCCCCCCTCCATTCTGCTGTTTTCACCCAGATAGTAAATATTTTCCACTTCACAAGTGTCATGATCTTTGTAGAAACAGCTGGACTCTGCCATGGTAAAGGCCTTCCTTTGTCTCATGGATGTGGCCGTGTACTGATAAAATTCATGAGCACTGACATTTGAATTGTATATTATTTCCCCGTCATGAAATATCCTTTTGTTATTTTCCCCCTTCATTTAACAAGGGAAACCAGGCCTCGCTGTCCACAGTGTGCGCCGGCCCCTCGTGGTGGTCTTGGAGCGTGTGTTGCCTTTTCAGTTGTGACTAACCGGCTTCAGCCAACTCGGGTTTTGCAAGGAAACCCATGGGGTAGCTTGTCAGTAGCAAGGCAGTGTGTTTTCATTTTGCCAGGCATTGCCAAAGCATTTTCTCAGGAAAGTAACCCTGTTTATCTCCTCCAGCATCAGGGTTGCTGACATTGAAAATTCTGCCTGTCTGCTAGGAGGAAGAGGCCATATGTAGGTTGGCTGTGCTGTCCTTTGAACTTTGTTCCATTTACTTTTAATCCTTGTAAGAGTCCCTTCCGTGACTTGTCAGTTTTTATCTATCTAATTTTATCTATTTTTCTAAGGCGATATCAGCTTTTTTCTTGTTGATGGTCAGATTTGCTTTTTACATATGAAGAACATGCTCAACGTGAGATCTCTTGGTTAACATGAGGTCCAGCCATATCACAGTGCAGAAGTAGGTACTACCTTAGCATATGAAACCTAGTTCTCGCCAAAGGCCCCCCTAACCTGATAGGGCTGGTCCAACTCAGCATGGGGGGTATTTTGGGGGGCATTTAAATCTCCCTGATGGGGGCCCTCCCTGGTGGCGCAACAGGTTAGGACATAGCACTGCAAGTGAGCTGCAGTCACTTCAGTGCGAGTTTGATCCCCAGCCCCCGAGCTGATCCACCTGGTGCGGCAGACCTCTCCTGTCTCACCCGCTGCTCCCTTCAGCAGTGTACTTCGTCGATCTGCCTGTTCTGCTCCCCACTCTGTCTCTGGTGAATCCTCTCACCACCCCTACACCTCTGGCCTCTACCCCAGTTCTGTATGAATAAATAAATAAATCTTTAAAAAAAAATAAATCTCCCCGATGGAACAGGATATATCAGGCAGAAGGCTGAGAGGCAACAGTGAACTTGGGGTCAGGTGGGGCCTTGCTTGCCTTATTGGGGGCTGGGTTTTCTGAGGGTGAATGACTAGGTATGTGGAGCCTAACTTGTTCCCTTCCCCACTGTTGCAGCCAGCAGAAGACTGAGCTTCCGGTCACAGAGAATGTGCAGACAATTCCACCCCCATACGTGGTCCGAATTATCCTTGTCTACAGCCGTCCACCCTGCCAGCCCCAGTTTACCCTGACGGAGCCCATGAAGGTTAGTGAGGCCTATAAGAGGGAGGACTGCCTGAGCCAGCAGGATGATGGGTAAACACCAGGGGCCTTTTCCTAACCACAGGAGGCGGGGTAGCACCTTTGGGCAGGTTCCCAGAGTTCAAGGCAGAAACTGGGGATTTGGGAGTGTGGAGTGACCCAAGTCCCAAAGGCTGATGTCCTTCCACTGTAGAAAATGTTCCAGTGTCCGTATTTCTTTTTCGACATCGTTTACATCCACAATGGTGCGGATGAGAAGGAGGAGGAGATGACTTGGAAGGTAAGGGGCCCCGGTGGCTGTGGGTGGTATGTGGATGTAGATGGGATGTCTCACAACCCACCCACCTTGTGCATGGGGTCATTCAGTCATTCAGCAACCATTTCATATGTCAGCTGTGAGCTGGTGGGGGCTGTTGGCTTGGTGGCCCTGGAGGCACTTAGTCCTACCTTCCTCCTCCCAGTTCCTCCTGCTTCTCTCTTTGTGCCTGTGTCTGCCCCTGTCTGAGCACCCCTCCCTCCCTACTCTTTAGGCTCTGCTGATTCTTCATGCCCCAGCCCTCCCTGAATTAGGTGAAACCTTTAGTGGGCTATTTATTGCTCTGGGTTTCACTTTACCCAACTGTGAACAAGAAAAGTTGAGATCAGTTCCTACTCATTCCTCAATACCCCAAACAAAGACATTTCTCTGGGAAACTTTCCCTGATCTTAGGAAATCAGCTTGAGGGCAGGAGATTATCTGAATCCCATGGTGTCTCTCCCGAATGGGGACTCTTGGGCTGATCTTTTGGTGGTCCCCAACATTTACTGGGGGACAAGGAATGTTTGCTAAACAAGGCAGTATTTTTTGCCTGGCAAACTCCTCTTCATCCTTCTGAACCCACCTGATGTTTCTTCCTCTGTGAAGCCCTGCAGAGTCAGGGAGAGCCTCTCAGGGGAATCCCAGCCTGAAAAGCCCCTTCCTGGCCCCCAGGACATGTTTGCCTTCATGGGCAGTCTGGATACTAAGGGTACCAGCTACAAGTATGAGGTGGCGCTGGCCGGACCAGCCCTGGAACTGCACAACTGCATGGCCAAGCTGCTGGCTCACCCACTGCAAAGGCCCTGCCAGAGTCATGCCTCCTACAGCCTGCTAGAAGAGGAGGATGAAGCCACTGAGGCTGAGGCCACCGTCTGAACCATCCCCGTACCTCTTAACCTTCTGTTACGGGGAAACCCTTGACCTAGAGTGCTGGGGTCTCTGAGAACCCCCAGGAAGGGATTCCAGGAGACAAGCAGGGTCTCTGGCGCCCCTGAAAGATACCCAAGATTCCAGGAAGCATGCCTGGGACTCTAAGCACCCACTGCCCATTTTTCCCAGCCTACATCCCATTCTTCGTTTGTCCGTTGTAATTTTTGTTATTCCCTATGATATTTGTCATCAAATAAAAATGTCTAACTCAGGTCTGTACACTCACTTGTATTAACTGGGACCTTTTGGGATGCAAATGATACAGAACTCGACCACTGAGTGGAAACAGTAAGGGCTTCATTCTTGTAGATGAAAAATAATGGTGCAGCTTCACGCTTGGCTGGATCCTGGTGCTCAGACACCCATGCCAGTGGGGAGGACAGAAATACTCTGTGATTGGGGTTCAAGGTTACCTCCTGTCCTTTGAACCCCCAGGATAGGAGTGAGATGGCTGTGGCAACTCTCTAAAACCCAATTCGAATAAAATAGAAGTGCTCCCAGCACCCCAGGTGACTTCTTGCCTGGGCCTTGTGACCTTGCTTTGGGTAGAACTCTGTTCTGATTGGTCAGGTCCTATACCAAGGATTTCTCTTTGGGTGGGGAGAAGGAAGCACAGCTTCATCAGGAAATACTGTGGGAGCTCCGCAGAGGAAGGGAAGAAGGGAATAGAAGGCCACCATTCTACTACCTTCCAGGATGATGGAAAAAAGTGTGCCAGTTAGATCCCCTCCCCTATGAACTGAAAATAACTTTAGTGAGCAACAGCTCTGATTGGGCACCTATGGTGAAATACATTCAATACTCATGTTGCGAAGATTTTTCCCATTTGGGGAAAATCTCTAAGGCCCAGTGGGGCTCCCACGTAAAGGGCTCCTGGCGACGCTGAACCGAAAACGGGTTACTACTAACAGCTTTGGAGGCTGGAGCTGTTCATCAAAGCCTTAGATAGGACAGGGGCTGGTGCCTCCCAGTGGAAGCTGCTTGAGTACCGTCGGATCCCGGGATCGTGGTCGCACTCCCTCCAGTCCTGTGCGTCCTCATTTCCCGGCCTTGCGATAAGGGCGCAGCCGATGGCCTCCACCCGCCCGAGCCCTTATCAGCGTGCCCAGACCGGACCAAAGAGCCACTCGGTGTCGCGGGACCAGGCGGGAACTATACTCAAATCCCGATGTGGTGCGGGCCAGCGTGGCTGCGGACCCTCTGCGCCCCTGGGGTGCGGAGACTGGCATCGAAGGGCGGGGCGGCGCGTGCGCACAGGGATAAGGCGGGAAGTTGGAAACCAGAGCCCCGCGGCGGGGCGAGAACGCCGGCAATGGGCCCTGCAAGTGGCCTGTCGCGGCGCCTGCGGGTGGCGCTGCGGCAGGAGGAGCCGCGGTGAGGGCGGGGCCCGGGCGGGCGGTGGGCAGCGAGGGTTGCGGTCCTTTCTGACACTGTGTCCGCAGAGCCGTGGAGGAGCTGCTGCGCCGAGGCGCTGACCCCAACCTGGTGCTAGACGATGGCGCGGCAGCCGTGCACTTGGCTGCCAGAGCCAGGCGCCCGCGCAGTCTTCGTTGTCTGGAGACCCTACTGCGCCAAGGCGGGGACCCCAACGCCCGGTGAGGAGGCGGGGCCCGCGCCTGGGTGGGTTCTTCGGCGCAGGGGAGAGGGTCTCCGTGTTCTGAAGGCTAGGTCTGTCGTTCTGAGAGGGGCGCCCCGCGGTCCGAGGCCAGACTGGGGACTGGGGGGGCCTTGGGGAGGGATCGTGATTGTCCCAGGGCTGGGACTAGCGTCTCTGGTTAAAGGTGAGGTGTGCGGTTGCATTGAGTCTGGAATGGCCGGGGTGGGGGTGGGGCAGTCAAAGGTTTGGAAACTCTAGCGTGAGAGAACAGAGGTTTAGTTCCAGCCCAAAGGCGGAAGCTGTGGGTTGCGTTCCGAGGGTGCTTTCTGACTGGATGGCGAAGGTGGGAAACGAAAGGCCAAGATTCAGGTGCTCCGTGGTTTAGACTCTGCCCGCCGCTAACCCCTCCTCTGCGCCCGCCACTAGATCCGCGGACGGGCTGACACCGCTGCATGTGGCTGCTGCCTGGGGCTGTCGCCGCAGCCTGGAGCTGCTGCTGAGACTGAGAGCAGACCCTGAACTGCGCGATCAGGTTGTCCTATGCGGCCAGCTGCTTCGGGGTGCCCCGGAAGGAGGGAGGGAAGAGGAGGGAGAGGGCCTCGGATGCCCCCAGCTGACTGTGCTGCGACAGGATGGGCTACGCCCGCTGGACCTGGCAGAACAGCAAGGACACCAGGATTGTGTGCGCGTCCTGCGGGAGCTGGAGGGGCTGACCTGGACTGAAGCCGAGATCCAGGAACCCCAGCAGGGGCCTGGTGGTGAGGAGGGTCTGAACAACTCTGCGGACTTAATTTCTGGTCCAGCTTTTTGTGACTTTGTCTCTGATGTCCACTGTCTCCTACTAGTTCAGACTCTGTCGTCCTGTCTCCCTCAATGTTCTCTTCATCATACTGTCTCCCTCCTCTTTGTGATTCAGTGTTCTGTGTTTGGACTTGAATTCCATCTCTGTCTCTTCCTCCCTGTTCCAGAACCCAGACCATGGCACGAGGGATTGGAAGACAGCCCCTCTGGTCCTCCTCATGTGACCCTGGAATCCACAGCATTGGGCAGAGGTGACAGTAGGGACATGGGCCTAGAGGCTGCCCGTGAACCCCAATGTCTCCTTGCCCACCCTGAAGTTGCTGATGAGGATGGGCGATTGCTGTCTCCAGGGTGCTGGGACTATAGCTCAGATGCCTCTTTTGTCACTGCAGTTGAGGCCTCAGGAACTGAGCACCTGGCCCCATGCATCTTCCCTTGGGCTAGGTCATTGCCTCAGACCAGGCAGGGGCTCCTGAGTGAGCCCGGGTCTCTGGGTACCCAGCAGCTGTCACATGGAGCCATCATGGGGGGCAGAGAAGCAGAACTCAATGCATGTCTTCAGCCCCTGACTCTGACCTCTCCAGATGCCTCCCCCTCTTCCACAACCCTCCGAGAACAGAGTCCAGTCCCTACCCCACCTAGGGAACTACTACCTGAGCCCTGCAACCCCCACTCCCTGGAGGAGGACCAGCCATCCCTCAGCAGTGCTGTGGCTGAGCCCTGCAACCCCCACTCCCTGGAAGAGGACCAGTCATCCCTCAACAGTGATGTGCCTGAGCCCTGCAACCCTCACTCCCTGGAAGAGGACCAGCCATCCCTCAACAGTGCTGTGGCTGCGCTCTGGCTGACGGAAGATGAGGCAAGCTCCCCAGGTGGCAAGGACCCCTCCCCCTCTAGGTGCTGCCTTCCGGTTCCCACCATGTCTGACCTGGAGCTGCTGCAGCGCCTCCGAGCGTTTGGGCAGAACCCTGGGCCTGTCACTCCGTTCACCCGCCGATACTACCTGCAGCGACTGGAAGAGCTCCAGGTTGCTCCTGGTTCGTCCCTTTCCAGGTCCAAGGACCTTCCTGGCGTCCCCAAAGACCCCTGGCTCTCATTTTTACCTACTTCTCAGTTCTACACCTGTCTCCCTTGACTCCCTTGACTCAGTTTCTCTTCCCAGGTCTAAACTTCTCAGGGCACAGCCCAGAGCTGGCTGAGGCCTTACGAACAGGCCAGATCCCAAATGCCCAAGCAGATGAGGATGTGCTTGCCCAGCAGTTTGAGCAACCAGATCCCACCAGGAGGTGGCGGGAGGGGGTTGTGAAATCCAGCTTCACTTATCTGCTGCTGGACCCCAGGTACTCGGCAGCAATGATATGGAAGTGGGAGCTGGAAAACTGATTGATTCTTATTTTCTGTGTGCCCTCAGAAGTGAACTGACACATGTCATTAGCTTCTTTATAAAAGGCAGTTGGACTCAACTCATGCTAACTGAGTGTCCTTGGGAGCAGGCACCTCTCTCTGCCCTATAAAATGGGGGTCACTAGATGAGGATACATTCTCTGTTACTTTAGAGAGTGTATCTGGAAAGAGTCCTCTCACTTCTTCCCTCTGAACCATTCACTTCCATCCAGGAAGACTCGAGACCTGCCAGGCCGGGCCTCTTCGTTGACCCCCCTGGAGCGCCTTCAAACTTTTGTCCGTGCCATCTTCTATGTGGGCAAAGGGACACGAGCCCGCCCCAATGTCCACCTCTGGGAGGCCCTTAGTCACCGTGGGCAGCCAGGAAAGCAGGTATGAGATAAAGACTAGGCTCATGCCGGGGTAGCCAGGTGAGGAAAGAAGGGACTGGGGGCAAACGCCTGACTCTACTGAGCCTTCACAGGCATGCCCAAAGGTACGCCAGATCTTGGACATTTGGGCCAGCGGCCATGGTGTTGTCTCCCTGCATTGCTTCCAGCACGTGGTGGCTGCAGAGGCTTATACTCGAGAGGCGTGTCTTGTGGATGCTCTAGGTGGGTGCTTGGCTCATGGGGAGCCACATACGGGTCACTTGGGTTATCATTTTCCTCACCCTTGGCTTTACGTTCATTTTTATGAGCAACTATTGAGTACCAGCTGTGTACCTGCATGTGCATATATTATTTTGTTCTATTGGTTTATCCTTGCTTAAAGGCAACACATGATGGGTTCATTATCATCTGCTTTGCTGAGGCTTCCCTTTAACTTTCCCTGTGACCCCCCTGTCAATCTCTTCAGGGATCCAGATGCTGACCAACCAGAAACAGGGACACTGCTATGGAGTGGTAGCAGGCTGGTCACGGGCTCGGCGTCGCCGCTTGGGGGTACATCTGCTGCATCGTGCTCTCCTTGTCTTCCTGGCTGAGGGTGAACGAGAACTGAGACCCCAGGACATCCAGGCCCGTGGCTGAGCACTGGGGAGTTGGCCATCTAGATGAGAGTTGTTTATGGCATGTGCCCCATGAAAAAAGAGCAACTCCTTATCTCCAGCTCCAGACGGCTGGGGATGAGGGACATATGCAGCAGAGCAACTGCCTGTTGGTCTGAGGGGACTTTGTTACAGATAGAGCTGCTGGAGAGGCAGTGAACTCCCTATCATGGGGGAACAGGTGAGGACCACAAGCTTCTTTGGAACATTCTGGTGCTTCAGAACATAGTGTGCTTTAGTTTGGCCCTGTTTATGTGGACAGAGTTCACTGTTATCTCCCAGACACAGGGAACCCACATTCTGGGATGCACCTGGGGATCTGCCCCAAGAGCCAAGCTTTGCTGCTTCCCAGCCATGGGTCCCCAGACTAGTGGTTTGTTTCTGAGCCACACTTCCTCAGTTTTCCACTGTGGACAGTGAGAGGTCTCAGCTCTGTGAAGAGCTGATTAAACAAAGCTGAGAAGGTCAAGTGTGACCCAGAGTACTGTATTAAGCCAGCTGCCCTCCTGCAGCTCAGATGGAAAGTCTGTGGTGATGGATGGACAGGGCCTAAGAGATTGTGGGGTATTCACAAGAAAGACCAGCTCTCCTTGGGATTCTTGTGTGACTTGAAAGTTGCTTCTCTGAACTATTTCTTCCACTGTCACTGTGCATCAGTAACTGACTTCGTGGTGATGTGCTGTGATTTCAGACTATTCACACAGGCAAAAAGCTTCAGGATCAAGTCACCCTCCTGGGAAGGTGCTGGCAGGATCTTTTAAGTTTTCTAAGAGTTGATTTTTCAATTGCCCAGTGGGTTCAGGGACTTGGGACCTGCCACTTCATTGACTTCACTACCTGCCCGTTACCAAGGCTCAGCTAACAGGTCGTTGGGGTGATGGGCTGTAACTGGAACCCGGTCCTCTGGCCCCAATCCTCTCTGCTGAGCCCATGGTTCCTTGGGAACGGCTTTGACATTAGGGGACCTACCAGTGAACTAGGTCTGTAGCCAAGTTGGAGGAATTCCCGAGCTTCCATTTCTTAAATGTAAAACAGGGAAGCCCAGACACCAAGTCACTTGATAAAGTGATAACAATGATAACCATGTGCGATCACCCAGGGATTCACAAAGCAGTCACTGGGAAATAAGCCAGAGGCCCCAAAATGATGGGATTTATTTACCTCTAGCATTTGAAGCCATGTTATTGCTTGATGGGGGGCAGGCCTGTGCACTGTAGAGTATCAGATATCATGCCACCAAGTCAGGAGCTCTTCCCCTGCAGCTGTGGCAGTCAAAACTGTCTCGAGAACTTGCCAATGGACAGTTGCTCCCCGAGATGCTCTGGTCTAAACTAAAGGTGCACTCACAAACCAGTAGGAGACAACGAAGATGCAGCAATGGAGGGGCAATTCTCTCCTAAAAGCCTGACAAACTACACGTAACCCTAAACATAAATACATTAGAAGAAAATGTTGCTTTCGAGCATGACCTTGAGGCAGGGAAACCTACCACACAGAAAAGGAAAAGCCATATCCAGTACCTTTAGAATAAAAGCTGGATGATGAAAGTCGCTCTAAACCATGTTGAAAGATAAATGGAGACAGCTTAGAAAGACTTAATCCCTGACTCCCACAGGGAGCAAATGAACCCATAGGCGTCAGGCAGCCAGCATCAGGCCTGGTGTACAGCTGGCACTCAGTCCATGCAGTGTCTGCTGAGCCTCACCATCAACCTGTTGTTAGACCTCTTGCTTGACTTCGGGGACAGGGAGCTCATCCACACCCTGGATCCCACTCTACCTTCTGCTTTGGGAATACTGCTCAAGTGATCCCTGCATTCATTGCAAAGATGGTGTTCTGCAAACAAGGCCTGTCTGCATTTGGGGAAACAGGGTCAGGGCCACCCTACCCTGTGGTCACCCAGCACAAGTCTGGAGATTCCGATTGTTATTTTTTATTGAGTTACAATTTGAGATGTGCAGGTTCAATGTTGCCAGCACCCCCATCCCTACCCCTTTGGGCAACAATAGCTCCCAGTGCTGAGGAATGGGGTGTGAGGGGCTCTGAGAAATGGGGTAGGACTCTTAAGGGTCCCTGTGGGGCTCATGAGTTACAGAGTCAAGCATGGTTGACACAGAAGACAGAGCGGGTTTGGGGTCCTTCCTTGGTCGCTGGTTGGGGGTTGGGGGGAGAGGGAGCTTCTGTACATGGTCATCCTCCACAGGGGACCCGACTGCGGTCCCAAAACACCGATGGTCGCACAGGATGCAAGCAGAGAGCAGTGTGTCCACTGGTTTCCCAGGAACAATGCGGCCAGACTGGGGGCGTCTCCCAGACCTAACCCCGCCCACCTGAGCAAACGCCCCGCCCACCTGAGCGAACTGCGGGTCCAGGTAGTCAACTCTGCAGACCCAGCGCCTGTTGGGCTGACTCTGGTTCCTCCTGCTCACCAAGTGATGCCTTGGCCGGCCCAGCATCTACTTCTTCTCCTTCTCCTCCAGTGGTGCAGGCGGGGGCTCGGGCAGGGCCTTGGGCAAAGGCTCCGGTTCCCACAGCAAGAACTCATGGAGCAGTGTGTTAACTGTCTCTGGGCACTCCAGCATCACCATGTGGCTGCCTTCATCGATGAGCTTCAGGAATGCCAGGAGCAGGATCTGTGGGATCACAGGGGTGCCTTGGGGCTAAGCTGCCCCTGCATGATCTGCAGCAGAAGCCCCTCCTGCTGTCTGTCCCTCATCCCTCCATTTCTACCCATTGGCGAGCTGGAGCTCAACCAAAAATTCATTCATCTGCATTTACCAAGTGCCTACAATATGTCCAGAGCAAGATTTCTCAATGCTGACATTTGGGATGGGAATCATAATTGGGGTAGGGACCATTCTTGGTATTGTAGAGTGTTGAACAGCATCTCTGTCTCCACCCATTAGATGCCAGTAGCAACGACACACTAGCCTCCCACAGCGTGACAACCTAAAGTGACTCCAAACAGTGCCAAATGTCCCTAGGGAAAAATTTGTCCATGGGTGAGAATCACGGAGACAGACAGAGCGTCCTCTCATTAGGCAAAGGTTTCTCAGCCTTGGTAGTACTGATATTTGGCCCTTGGGGTGGGGCTATTCTGTTCATTATGGGTGGCCGATAACCCCTGGTCTCTTTAGTACCCCCTGCCATAGTCATGACAATCAAAATAGTCTACAGATATTTCCAAGTGCCCCCTGAGGAGCAGAATGGTCCTTGGTAAAGAACAATTTGTCCAAAACTCTTCCAAATATGAAAGAGCCTGAAGATTCCCTTGTCTTCCCCATCCCAGAATTATGTGGCTTGTCGGTGGTCAGTGACACAAATCCCAACTGTACAGAGCATCTTTTTACGTGCAGTAGGGACAGTGCATATTAACACCTGTCCAGGGCAGACCCCCTTTCTTAATTCCACCTCTGACTCTTGATGTGAGCTTCCAATTTGCTGGGGCTAGAGCCCAAAGCACAGTTCCCCTGTGCTACGTGAGGGTGACTTGGGGTTTATGTGGCTGAGGTGCCACACCCTTACCTCAGCCATGCGCTGGTCTTCCTCCACTGGCACAAATTTGTCATGCATGCCATGGACAAGCAGGACAGGCACGGTGAGCTCGGCATGGTAGACCTCATCACCCTCAGGCCAGTACTGACCACTCATCATGGCCCGCAGCACAAAGGAGGATACATTGAACGCGTTGCCTTCTTTCAGTAACTGCTTCTCTTTGGCCCCTTGGCGGGCAAAGCCAGCCCTAATGAAGAGGAGGCACCACTGAGGCCCTTGGGCAAGCAGGAGCACCAGGACAAGCTGCCCATGCCATGCTGCCTCCCCCACCCCAATCCCAGTCACTCACTTTAGGAAGCTCCAAGCCAAGCAGGGGGACAGGCAGTGCAGGACACATGTAGGCATGTTGAAGATGGAGCAGAAGCTGGGCTCCAGGGCAGTGGGGCCCCCGCCATTGATCATGATCACTTTGTGCACCAGGTCCGGGTACTCATGTGCCAGGAACGTGCAGAAGGAGACACTGCCAAGGGGTGGGGTGGTAGGGAGGATTGGAGAGTGGTGAGCAACAGGATCTTGGCACTGAGGGGGCTAATGCTTTCTCCACACCCCAGAGGCAGGTCCTTGAAAGCCAAGATTCTTCCCCTAGGGTCTAATGGTACTCAGTGGGGTGGGGGTGGGGGTTAGGGAGGAGGGGTATCTCACATGCTGCCAAATTGTGAGATTGGTTGTGTGTGAAGGGGAGATTATTCTTTGGAGACAGGATCCAAATCTAGAACTTTCATCACAACCACTCAAAGGGGTAAAAATTACTATTTCCAAGTGTTAGAAAGCAGTCAGATTAAACAACCCTTTGGCTTACCCAGATAATGTTTTCACTGGCCTCTGGGCTTTAGGTCTAATTCCTCTTTCCCTCCAAAGCAGTGTCCCTTTAGCAAACTATGGCTTGAGACTAGCCACTGATTTTAGTAAATTACGTTTTGTAAAGTAGTAAAATGTTTTGTAAATAGTTTTATTTGTTTACAATAGTGACTATTTCCTGCCATGAAAGATTCAGCAGAGAACTTCTGGCTGGCAAACCTAAAAATGTTTTAAGAAAAAGTTTGCCAACTGTTACTGTAAAGGCAGATGTGCTGTAAAGGATACAGGTAGGGGTCTGACAGGCCTGACTGCGCTAATGACTCAGTGCCCTCAGGCCAGTTACTTAACCTCTCTGAGCTTCTTTCTTTCTTCTGTCAGCGACATAGTAAGTAATTGTGCTGACTGCATAACATTGTCGTGGGCTCACAGGAACTGCCACAGATGGGTGCTCATTTCATTGGATAATCACTTGTCATAAGCATCCACTTTTTGGAATGTTGCACTATAAACATATAGGAGCATGTAACATTTTCCTTTTGTGTGTCTAATTGCATGGATTACAACTGTGAAAACAGTGATTCTCACTCTGACTGGATGATCAGTTTATGTCTTTCCTCTGGGGTAAAAGTGGGAATGGCACCCAGTCCCAAAGCCTTCTATGGCCTTAGTAAATGCCAGTGGTATTATCACCCCTCCCAGGGAGAGTGAATTAGAGCAATCTATGCCCTCATAAGCAAAGCTTACAGGTCTCCACTTAGTCCTTCCCTGGGGTCCTTGGCTCTCCAGAGCAACTAATTTTTGAAGTTCAAGACAGTGTTTCTCAGTCAGGGCTGATCTGCCTATGAGGCTGATCTTACCTTTGGTAAGTCTGAAGACATTCTTACTGTCATGATCATCTAGTAGGTAGAGGCCAGGGACACGCTAAATGTCCTACCGTGCACACCTGACTCAAATGTCAATAGTTAGAGACTGAGAAATGCTGCTTTAAAAAGAATGTGAAACAACAGCAGTGGTGGCAGGGATCCCTGTTGTGTTACAGGGGTTAATGGGGTTCTTTTTAAAAGTGAGGTAACATTGATTTACAACACTTACATGTTTCTGGTGTAGATTCAAACCTCACATCTCACCTGTGTGTAGCACCATAACCACCACCCAGGTGTAGTTTCCATCCCCACCATCCAACTGGACCCCCTCTAACTCCCCATCCTCCTTCCCCTCTGGTAACCACCAGGCTATTATCAGAATCTAAGAGTCTTTGTTTTTGTTTTGCTTCTTCATTTGCTTTGTTAATGGCATATTTTTAAGGAGCCTATCAGCCTTTTTTTATTTAGCATCTAGTCCCTGCCAGACCCCATTCACCCCACCCTCCCCCCAACCCCCCTCCCCACCCTAACTCCCAACTCCACCCCTCTCCACCACCCCCATTCCCCATGCCTGTGGGCTCACCCGTAGGAGTGCCCAATGAGCACGTTTCGCTTCTTGGCATAGCGCTTGAAGATGGCGCGCATGTCCTCCGCCAGTGCATAAAAGGTGTAGGCTGCGGCCACCTGCGGCGCTGAACTGGCCCCATGGCCAGCCAGATCGGGTGCCACCACCTCGTAGCCCAGACGCACAAAGAAGTCCAGCTGCTCCTTCCAGATGGCCAGGGAGCCCCCGACACCATGAATGAAAAAGAGCACGACATCGGCCTGGGCACCCTTGCAGCTGGTGATGCGCTTCTCGCAGTCAATATGGATGATCCGCCTAGGGCGCCGACCTCTCCGCCGCCGACCACTGCCGCTGCTGCCAGGGCCTGAGCGCGCATCGCTGCCTGCTGGGTCCGCCAGCTCCACCTCAAGGGCGGCAGGCGGCTCCCCAGAGCCGTTCTGCCCATGCAGGAGGTCAGCTCTTGGGGCCCGGCCCAGGTTCTCTACCAATAACCGCCCATTTCGGTACACGGTGATACGGCGCTGGCAGTGGACCAAGCCTGACTGGACCCCCTGGGCAGCCTCCGGCAGTGGTGGAGGCAGCGTGGGGGCCGGAGAAGGTCCAGCGTGCTTTACTCGCAGCACTCGGCCAGGCTTGACTTCCACAAAAGTGTAGCCATCCCGGGACTCGACATTCTCCAGGGGCCCCACTGCGTTGGGTGGTGCACCCAGCAAGCAGCAGAAGATCCCATCCGTCACCCCAGTCAGCATGGTGTGTCCTGTGAATAGAGGCAGTGGTCAGTTTAATGGGAAACCCTCTACCTCCATTAGCACCCACTGCCCCACTCTGGATCAAGTGAGTCACCCTTCAAGGCTCCATTTGGGGAGGACCAGAATCAACCAAACACCAAATGTTTTGGTCAGTGGCCACTGTGGTGGCCAAGTATCCTCTTGTGTGATCCTATTCTATCCCAGAGACAAGGACCTGGCTTTGGCTGACCCTAAGAAGTGTCCATAGGGAAGGTGGTGGAGTCAGGGGAGACTTCCTGCAGGAGGGGATTTTGTAGCAGGAGCCACCAGCTGGGATTTATATCACTATGCTTTCCTGTGCCCAATTATTTATACATTCTTTCATTATTAACTCACTAGATTGTCCTGAGAGCCCCTGAATCTAAAAAGATACAAAATCCAGTAAGCCCCTACCCCAGGCCTCTGAACCCTGATAAAGGAAGTTTGGGACTGAGCTCCAAGCTCTACGCTCCAGAAGGCCTTGCCACGCTCTCCAAGACCACCATGGGCTGGATCTGTTTCACAGGTTGACAAGCTGAGGCCCAGATACTGGCAGGAAGCTGTTCTCCTCTCCCCTGGTCAACATACTGGGTTGCGCAAGTGCGGGGAGGGAGTAGTGAGGGGGATGTCAAACAATTCCTAGTGGTGGAGATGAGGATAGAGAAGGTAAAGCCTTGGCTGGGGACCGCCAGGCCTCCATCCTGCTCCCTGGGCCACCCCCCTTCGTGTCCATGGCAACCGCAGGCAGTTACATAACTCAAGGGGGGATACCGACGCATCGCACCCCCATTGTCTAGGGCTTGAAGATGGGACCCTCCCCCCTCCCCATCCTGGGCGCCTCTGAGATAACGCACGCTGAAGGCCCGGCCTGTGGTAGCCTTGTACTTGCTGATGCAGAGGGAAGAGGCCGCGCCCCCCCACCCCCCACCTCCGGCAAGGTCCCAACCCCAAACTGCGGAGGGGGTGGGGGGGCCCGCAGGCCAGCCTCCCTCTCCAGCGCCTGGCCCCCATCTTTCTGGTGCCCATCAGCCCTGCGACGAGGTCCAGTCCATTGGGGCTCCGCGGTCTCTACGAGCCTGAATGCAGGCTTTAAGGATGCCCCTCTCGAAAGAGGAAGACCTGGAAGCCTCGCAATCCTTCTCAGTGCCCGCTCTCAGCTCACCTCATCTAGGGCTCTGAGGCCCGGGGAAGGGCGGAGATGTCCGGGACGGAGAAGCCAGTCCGCCTGCGGGCGCCGTTTACATGGTGGCGCGGGATCGGGCCGGGAACGTCCACACGGGCGGCGCAGAACCTGGGTGGTCAGCGCGGGGCCATCCTGTGGTCGCCGAGCCTGTCGGCCCTTTAAGTCTGTCCCCGGGGGGCGGCGGGGCGGCTTGCCGACAGACGGGCGTCTCACCCAATCTCAGATGCGGACACACCTGGCCTAGTTAAACTGCCTATCAGAGGTGGCAATTTCGGGATGGGGCGGGCTCTATAAGGGACAGCCCCGCCCACTTTCAGGACTGTTGGAGTGGCAGGAAGAATCTGGCCTGGCCCCGGGCCAAGATGGGGTCGCAGCCTGGGTTTTTGCTGTGCTCCGCCGGGGGTGGGGGACGCGGCACCGAAGTTCCCTCTCTGCGAATAGGATTTCCTCAGCTCGCCGGTACCACCGAAATACTCTGTCCCTCCCCATTGCCGGCTCTCTGTGCGGTTATTTCGGCTCTAGAGACTCCCAGATCTTTCCAATTTAAAGCGGGAGGTGCATAGAGTATTAGGTTACAAGGCAAAAACCCTCCGGGGAGGGCAGGCTGCAGAGGTGATTTCTGGTCCTGGAAACAGGAAAAGATTTATTACACCTTTAAATAAAAGTCTCGGCGCTATGAGTAATTGGGGAATTGTAGTTTTTTCCACAGGAGTAAGTGGGGAATTGTAGTTTTTCCACAGATGGGGCAATGTAGCCTGTGACTCTGGTTATAGAGGAGCAACCCTCAAAGCCAGTATCTACCTTTTGCTGATCTGTGACCTTGGACAAGTCACTTTCCCAAGACTGTATTTCTCTATAAAATCGCTCATGAATTTGCCGTGCAGGTAAAACAGCACCGTAAATGCAGATACATTACTGACTTTTTTTTTTGTATTGGCATAGTATTGAGGTGATTTGCTAAATGATAGTGCAGGTAGGAGGGGCTTTAGAGCACTAGGAGTTAAACAATATTTGCCCACTCCCATCCCTTGGAATTTGCTGCTATAGCTGGATATGATCCAGCCACCCACTCTTGCCTGGTCAGGGTGCTCCTGGGAGATTACAGTTTATATATGCAGCAAACACCCTCCCTCCCCCCCCAAGCTGGAACACACTGGGGTGACCCTGGGATTTAGCCCCAGGCCTGGTCCTTTAGGGTCCCCTGGGCTTGAGGAGAATCAGGGTAGGCTGAGCCAGAGGGAGGGACAGGGATGGGGGCAGGATGGTATTTTAAGAGGATTTTTAAAAGATGAATAGGGAAACACCTGGCAGAGGAGGGTGTGTTTGTGTGTGAGTGTATGAGTGTGTGTGTGTTTTTGAAAGCCTGCTGGAAAGCTGGGTATTTTCCCTGGGGCAATGGGAGCCATAGAGAGTGTGTTAAAAGGGACGGTGCTTAGATTTGAGTATTGGAAAAATTCTCCCAGGTCCTGAATGGCAGGCTATAAGAGCAAGTTTGCAAGCCACGAGTTTTACAAATTTAGAAACTCAATTCGGGAGAGTTGCAGGGACTACCCCTCAAGGACATCCGGTTAATTTGAACTCGGACCTCCAAGAATCCTGGCCAAGGGGCAGGGACTTGGCTGGGACCAGGGAAAAGCTGCCAGCCAGCTGTATGCCATCTGCCTGACTCCCTCTAGAGGAGTGGGAGGGTCAACCAGACGTTTCCAGTGGCAGCTTCCAGCCGCACCACAGCACCCTCCTTAGGGCGACAGGAGCGACGGCTATAGCCAACAGACCCCGGGAGAGAATGCCAAGTACGCACGCGCATTTTGAAGAGGCAGCTCTCGCCTTCCACCTGCTGGTTCATTGGAAGAACTACAAGCCTTGTAGGCACGCACGCTCACACACCGATGGTCCTCAAATGTAGAACTACAATTTCCGGAGGCCTCCGCGGCAATGAGCACGCCGCTCTAAGGGATACTACACATCCCAGAAGTCTGCATTCCCGCAGTTGCGGAGACTATCGGGGACGGCGTGATTTACGGCTTGACATGGCTGCTTTGACCGGATCTTTGGGTCTCCTGTTGGGGCCCGTCAGTAGGTCGGCAGCACTGCTGGGTTGTAGGTGAGTCCGCAAGGGAGCAAGGGCTGCGCCAGGGAGCAAGGGCTGCGCCAGGGATCGTGCCAGCAGTTTACCGACCTCGTGGCTACTTGTGCACTTGTGGAGCGCCTTTTGGAGTCAGGGTTTGTCGCGACAAGGATCGGGAAGCTGAGATTCGGAGAGGTTGGGCGCCGCTCAGCGCCACCTCTAACTTTTCTCTGTCCCCCGCAGGTGGCTGCAGCCGTGGGGCCGGTTGGGACTCCCTGATCCCTGGGGTCTCCCCTCAGTACAGCAGACCCGGGGCAGAGCGCGCGGGAATGAGTATCAGCCGAGCAACATCAAACGCAAACACAAGCATGGCTGGATCCGGCGTTTGAGCACGCCGGCAGGTGTTCAGGTGATCCTTCGCCGCATGCTGAAAGGCCGAAAGTCGCTGAGCCATTGAGGAGAGCCGGGTCACCGCCGGGACATCCAGTAGAACGTTTCCCTCGCTTCATACTGTCAACTGCTGCTGTTTTGTGTGGGGTTTTTTTGGGGGGGAGGGCTGAAGGGTGGAAGAGGAGGGAAGCCCTGTGTAGCAGGACTACTCAGACAAAAGTCGTGCTCAAATTTGAGGGCTAGCCTAGGGGGAGAAGTCTGGAGTTGGACTGGGAGGGGGAGTGGAAAGAGATTTTGCCAGTTTCCTTTTTAGTAAGAACCTCGTGCATACACAACAACTCACATACTGGCACAACGAACTTCTGGTCTCCGGTTACCTTCAACTCCCCGCACCTCGGTTTTTTTTTTTTTTGAAGCAAATCTCAGACACGGGGTTGTTTAGAATGTATTATCCAAGATGAAGACTCTTTAAAATATAATCACAAAGCTTTTCAACCCCCAAAAGATCGATTTCCTAATATTTTTAAATATCTAATAAATGTCCTTAATTCCACTTGTCATATATGTCATAATTTCCATAGGCCTGGGAAAGCTTGCAGAGATTTGGAAGGGTTTGAATTTTCGCTTTCCCCTTGGGAATGGACTGTGTGACCTAGAGTAAGGCCTTAGCCACCTGAGAATTTTTGGCTTATATGAAATGTGATGCTTGTTTCTCCAGTGCTGTGTTGTCTCTGGAGTAATAATACTTATCTATTAACGCATAGAGTGCTTTCTGAACGTTGGGTATCTGGTCCTTGCCCTGAAAGGCCTGCTGATTGTGGAGACTGAATTTGTGCCTACGCATTTATCAATTTGTGAAGTTTGGACGGGAGGTGAACTGTGAGGGCTGTGGGAACCCAGGGGAGGCACCTGACTTGCCTTTGGGAAGAATGAAGTCAGGGAATGCCTCTTAGAGGAGGTGGCAGGATCTGGGATGGCCCAAAGGGAGGAGGGGTTGGACAGGAGTTCGGATAAAAGTTGGATGAAGGGGCCCTCCCTGGTGGCGCAGCGGGTTAAAGCACAGCACTGAGAATCTAAAGCCACTTCCGCATGAGTTCGATTCCCGCCTGCCCCGGAGGAGACCACATGGCGTGGCAGACCTCTCCTGACCCGCCCGCTGCTCCCCTCAGCAGTGTACTTCGTCGATCTGCCTGTTCTGTTCCCCACTCTGTCTCTGGTGAAGCCTCTCGCCTCCCCTGAGCTTCTGGCCTGTACCCCAGTTCTGTATGTACAAATAAATAAATCTTTAAAAAAAAAAAAAAAGTTGGATGGAGGAAGCCCTTTAAGGCCCAGAATTTGGAGTCTAGAAGGTGACTGGAAACATAGGTCAGTGGGAACCATAGAAGGAATTTGAAGAATGTGAGTTGTCATTACAAAGATTTTTCAGGCAGCTGTGCAAGCTAAAATCAAGCCTACGGTTGAAACCCCGGGGAGGAGGCCGGTGGTGTTATGGTGGGTACCGGTTTTCGGGGTTGCCGTGAGACCCCCATGAGGCAGTATGAAAAAGGGTGGCAAACTCAAGAAAGAAACCTGCCTAACTTCCGAAGTTGTGAACTACAATTCCCAGGGGGCTTTCAGAGGCGCGGCCTCCGCCCACTTCCGGACTTCTCAGCCGGTCGCTTCCAAGTCTCGGGCGGGGTTTGCTCTCTCAACCGAACTTAACCACGAGGGAGGCGGCGTGGAGACCAATGGGCATGTAGTTTAGACGAATCTGGCCAATGGGGGCGCGCACAGGCGCCACATCTTGGAGGTGGGGCTAGAGAGTGGACCAATGACGGCAGGGCGACGGCACCATCAGTGTGGGCTGTGCCGTGGCTGGAAGTTACTGTGCGGCGGCGGCGGCTAAGAAGGCGGCTGTGGTGGCGACGGCGGCGGCTGAGACGGCGGCTGAGGCGGCGACGGAGGAAATAGAAGATGGTGAGACCGGCCGCCAGGCCCGTGCTCCCCTTCCGCTCGACAAAATGGCGCCGCGGGCCCACCCACCTTTAGTAATCCCTGAGGCCCCTCACCTCTCTGCCGGGTCCCACTGCTTCGGCCCCGCCCCTCGCTCTGACCTGTGACCTTCGACCGGGGGACCCTGCTGTGAGCTTCCTGCTTACTGCGCCCCTCCTCTGTTTCCGACCCCTGACCCCTTGCGGGCTTCCAGGCCCTGGCTAGTCATTCATTTCCGGGTCTCTAGTCTCCCGGAAATCGCCTAGGGTGGTGAGGATGGGGTCCCCCGAGACCCCAGTTTCGAGTCTCTTCCTGAGCATTCCGGACCTGGGTTTGTCCAGTTCGAGAGCGTTTGAGAGGGCTTGGGAGACCCGTATGGGTATCGGGACGGGGGAGGGGGCTTGACAGCCATACTTGCGGGGCTTTGTCACCAAAAGAAGTGCGACATCGCGGACTGACCCTGCCCCCCAGATCCCTGACCCACCCCTAACATTGAGGTCCTGATCTGTCCCTAAGAGGGAGCAGCTCCATCCTCTAACCCCACGTTCTGTTCCTGTTAAATGGCGGTAACAGTGGTCCAGACTTCCCAGACACCTGACAGTTTAGGCACCTGTGGTGGTGAAGGGTTAAGGACGGTAAATGCTCAGCTGATGAGCTGGCGACGTGGACCCCTGATTTCCAGCCGTCTTCTCGTCTGGAAGTGGGGATAATGCCAGTGGTTATTGGGAAGTTAGTCATACCGGGTCAGCTAGTTCATACTGGGATTTGTCATGGGAGTTGTCCCCATCTGTAAAATGCCATGGTGTCCCAGCCTTAGAGTAGAGCAGAAGCCCTTTCCCATTCCTCATTATTTGGCATCCCAGGGATCTTGGGGGTGATGGAACTTGCTAAAGGCAAATCAGAAAGCCCTCTTGCCCCTTAACCCAGGGTCCCAGCTATGGATGTAGTGGGGGATGGATTAAAGAGACTTCTTATCTGGAAGGAAATGGGAAAACGGGTTCCTGACATGTGGGTCCCCACACCTGGTTGTTGTCCTTGATTCCTCAGTGCATCCCATTGCCCACACCCTGTCTATAAAAGGGTTCTGTTGGCTTTGCTTCCAAAACACTGTGAATGTGTCCGTGGCTTGGTCAGGCACTACCATCTTCCCCCAGATACCTGCCCCAGCCTCTTCACTGGTTTCTTTGCCTCTGTCTTAATCCTTGTCTCTCCACTTGCTCTTCCTTTCCCCACTTGTAGTTTTGGAGCCAAGGGGGCGCTTTTACAGATGGAGATAAGATTACACCACTTTCTAGCATGTAGAACTCTCCAAGGCTTCTTTAACTTAGCTGAACTCCCAACTACCCCCTTTACCTCCTTGGTCTCTGCCCACCTCTGTGACCTCATCTCCAACCTCTTCATACCTACCTCTGAGCTCCAGCCACATAGGTCTTGTTTTCATGTGCTCACACTCCAAATCCCTGCACCCCAGTACCTTTGTACCTGCTGTTCCTTGTGGAATGGGTCTCCAGCACCACCCTGATTTGGCTGCCCCCATTTCTCTCATGGTACATTGTTTCTTGTCCTCTCATTGTAGTGGGTCCTTGCTGGGCTACCTGCACAGAGCTGTCCCCTGAATGTTTGCTGATATAGTCAACAGCTTTTGGGTCCCACTGTTGCCAGGATTTGTCTGGGATGAGGATTTCTGCAGTGTCTGAGCCTTGTTTCATTTGTTTGCTACAAATTCACTGATGCTGACAGTTGCCAGCAAGGGAGCTCCATGAGATGCTCCTTCCCTGTGTGGTCTTAGATGGGGGCCCCTCTTGTAATCCTAGTTCACCAGTAGGGTGGCAGGGATGGGACATTACACAGCCAAGACCAGGGTGCAGCCAAGAGTGAGTGTGCCTCTCTTCACTCTGCTGCCTGGTCACTCAGAGCCAAGGGTTGAATCAGCGCTCCCCTGCGCTCTGCCCTCAGGTGCCATTCTAGCAAGGGAGGTGGATGTAGAAAACAAATGATCTCTTCCAGGTGTGAGCACTGCTCTGACAGGGGCTCCAAAGATGTGGGGAAAGGGAAGGTGGCAGGTGTGAAGAGATTGTTCGGTGTTCCCAACATAGAAAAGAGGGGCGTTCCTGGAGGGTGTCATGGCACACAGGTCAAGAAGTGTGTGGTGCGAGTGGGGTTGGGAGGTGCTCACAGAACTAGGGACATGGTGGGGTCTGAGAGGGACTGGATCCCCCCTTACTTTTTAAATCTCAGCACCTGCATCATTGCTTCTGGGCAACCTTACCTGTTCCTCAAACCATCCAGACCTTTTCTACCTACTGTCCTCGGCCTCACAAAGCCCCTTTTAGCATCCTGGCCTCATGACTGCTTTGGATTCACTTTGAAGCTTCTGATCTCATGTTCCCTGCATACTGGGGTTCCCAAGGTCAGGAGCAGCACTGGTGCCTGACTTGGGGGCAAGAGTCTGAGAAGACCACAGTGGATGAGGAGCACTGGCCCCATAGTCTGCAGTGGAGTTGGGGCAGAGGTCCTGGGGTGCGGAGTCATCTTTGAGGGGCTTTGAACTGCCCATGGGTTGGTAGTCACCTGAGTTTGAGGTCACTTTAGTAGGAATAGGAGGCCCTTCACATTCCAGACTCCCTGTCTACCCTGTCCCTCAGCCTCCTAGGCTTACAGAAGTGGGGGCACCTTCCCCAGAAGGTGATATGGTACAGTGCTGGACTTAGGTATGGATACTGGCCACCAAGGGAAGGTTATAGTCAGCAGGGGTTCAGAGCGTTGGGTGTACAGGCAGGGAAACAGACATTGGCGTGGCATATAATAGAAGGAGCTTGACCTCTCAGGTTGGGTGAACTCAAATTCAAATCAACTCCCTCATTTTCATTTAGAGCCTGGTGACTTTGCCACATGACTCTTCTGCTTTAATAGCCCTGTCTTGATGATGATTGGCTGACAATAGCTCTGGAAGCTTCTGCCTAGGGCTGGGCAAACAGGAACTGTGCGCTGGCCATGCCCCTCTTGGCATGACAGCCACCCCAGTTTTGATAGTCACTCTCCTACCTGCTCTGCTGCGAGGTCACTCCCTGACCCTAGTTTTTAGCCATCCTCTCTCTGTGCATCCCAAGACCTTGGGCCTCTTGGCTTTTATTCACATGTCTTGTCATTGAGATTTGCCTCCTACAGTCAGGGTCTCCCCTCCAGAGCTTTCCTTTAAGGGTTGGGCTGTGAGTCCTATTGCCTCCCTGGAGTACCAACCTCCCTCCCCACCGCAGCGAGCCCTCTGCTCCCTTATGTTTATTGTTACTCTGGTCTGTGAGGGTTCTTACGGTTGATGACTTTTCCATCCCAGGTCTCTATCAATGTGAATAAATGGAAACGAAACCAGAAGATTAATAAGTCAACTGGCACAAAAGACAGCCCTGCTGTTGGGTAACCTGAGTCTAATCTCTGCTTTGCGTTTGCTCTTGACTAAACAAGAGGTCCATTCTCTCTCAGCCTCAGTTTTCCTGCCTGTTGCCTGGTTATGGGCAATTTTGAGGATCCTGAGGAGCAGGTGTGCTTTCGCGAGGTTGGCTGTGTTTTCTGGTCATGAATGAACAAAAGAGGTAGCCGGCTTTAGGGTGCATTCAGTACAACTGGAACAGTAAGAACAGAAAAGATGAATCCTGAAGTCACCTGGAGTCTCAGCCTACACCCAGTGGGCTACCCGGTTTCTCATTCACCATCTTCCCTGTTTTCTAGGCAGATTTTTTGAAAGGACTGCCCGTCTACAACAAAAGCAATTTTAGTCGATTTCATGCAGACTCTGTGTGTAAAGCCTCGGTGAGTGGGTGTTCTGGGGGTTGGGGAATAGTGGGGGTGGGTTGGTGGTGATGCTCACCTCTAATTGGGGTATGACAGGGAACGGGCTGATTTCCAAGTCGGCCCTTATGTTGCATGGTGGTGGTTTGATCTGTGTTGGCGGGTGGGTGCCAGGTAAAGGGGTTCAGGTGTGTCCCTAACCCATACCTTCTGGACCCTCCTGCAGAACCGACGTCCCTCAGTCTACCTGCCCACGCGGGAATACCCATCTGAACAGAGTAAGTGGACTCTGTCAGTCAGTTCCAACTTGGCTGCTGAGGGGCGGGCCACAGAACAGATTAGGAGGTAACCCAAAGAACCCTGGCCCACTCCATGTCCGTGGGAGCAGCAAAACAACTGCCCTGCTCCAGGTCTCCTCTGAGCTCCACGTCCAGCCCCATGTGACGACCGCTGTTCACCCTTCTCTGCCACTCACCAGCCCTCTGCCCCACACCTCCCATCAGGTCAGGCGTTTCCTGCTGGCTCCACACCACAGGGTCCATGATGAGTGTCATGGACTTTGGTGGGCAGCTGGAGGGAGGGGACAGCCAGACCATGGGATTCCCAAGAAAGGCCTGGAGCTTGCAGGGCAGAGGGACTCTGAGGTTGTTTTTGGTGGTTGAAATGTTTTAATGTGAAAAAGACCCCTCTACCCTGGGTCCTGCTGGCTGGGTTGGATGGTTCCTGTCTTGTGGCTGTGTGGATCTGTGCCCCTGGTCTGCCTGGACCTACACAGGGCTTGTTCTGCCTATGGCAAGAATTCCTCACAGTGTAGAGGACTCCGCCTCTCCCTGGGAAGTGAGCACCCCAGTGTATTGCTGGCTTGTGGCCTGGTAGTGACTATGACCTCAGGAATGCAAAAACGTGGGCTTCCTAAAGCCTCCTCCTAGGTTGGGGTGCATGTTGGGAGATCCACAAAGACCACCCAAAACTTAATCTAGGTCAGGACACCAGGAGGGGTGAGGCATCACAAGTGAGGATTGGGGCAGGGTCTCCTGTAGCCTCTTCCTGTGACTTTCTGTCTTTCCTCTTCAGTCATCGTGACAGAAAAGACAAACATCCTTTTGCGTTACCTACATCAGCAATGGGACAAAAAGGTAAGGCATGAAGGGGCTCAGTTTGTGGGAATCGGGATACAATACTAAGAAGAGGGGCTCTCATTGGGGCAATTACAGTGTTGGAGTGGGGCCTTGAGGGCTGAATAGGAGTTGGCCAATGATCCAGTAGGGGAAGAGCATTCCCAAGGAGAGAACATGTGGCCAGCATGGCCTTAGGGGCTGCTAGACTTCCGTGTTATTATCTAGATCATTTATTTCATTATTATTTTTAAAGATTCATTTACTTATGCATACAAAGCTGGGGTCTAGACCAGAGGTGCTGGAGAGTGAGAGGATTCACCAGAGACAGAGTGGGGAGTAGAACAGGAGGAACTATGGAGAAACACTGCTCAGGAGAGCAGCAAGAGGCAGGAGAGCTCTGTTGTGCTATGTGGATCACCTCAGTGGCGGAGGATCGGACTTATGCTACAGTGGCCGCTGATAGCTTCATAATGTTGAGACTTAATCCTTTGTGCCACCAGGGAGGCTCTAGATTATCTATTTCAATGGGGAAATGTATGCATGATTAAAAACCCAGGCAATAGAAGTAACTGTAGTTACTGTAAAAGGTCATCTCCTGTCCCGTCCCAGAGACTGCCATCCTAACGTGCCCTGTGTTTTCGTTTCCTTTAATGATTAAACAGTTTCCTAAAAGATCATTTTTTAAATTTACTTATGCATATAAGAACTGGGGAGTAGGCCAAAGTTGGCAGGGTGGGGAGGGCGGGTTGAGACGGTACACCAGAGACTGAGTGGAGATTAGAACAGATGGATCTACTGAAATGCACTGCTGAGGGGAGCAGCTGGCGGGTCAGGAGAGGTCTGCTGCGCCATGTGAGTCAGCTCCTTGGTCTGTGATTGAACTCATTGCAGTGGCTGCAATAGCTCGATACCCCTGAGACTCTAGCCCTTGCACACCAGGGAGGCCCCTAATAAAATTTTTTTAAAGAGATTTTTTTTTTAAAGATATATTTATTCATATAGAACTGGGGTATAGGCCAGAGATGCGGAGGGTGAGAGGCTTCACCAGAGACAGAGTGGGGAGCAGAACAGGCAGATCAACGAAGTACACTGCTGAGGGGAGCAGTGGGGGGTCAGGAGAGGTCTGCTGCGCTATGTGGATCTCCTCCCGGGGCAGGCGGGGATCGAACACATGCGGAAGTGGCTTAAGCTTCTCAGTGCAGTGCTTTAACCCGCTGCGCCACCAGGGAAGGCCCCTAATAAAATTTTTTTTAATGAATGATTGTGTTGTTCTGCAACAAGGTTAGTGTTTTTTGTTTGTAACATTGACCACTGAATGGTGATCTGCCCTGGGTGAGGTTGGAGTGGCCCCATGATAAAAGTGACAGCTCAGACAGTGTGAGCTGCCTGTCCTACTGTCTCCCTAGCCCTACATGTTTCCATCTCTACCAGCAAGGAAAAATCTTCCCAAACCAGCCACTTTTTCTCATTTGTGGCTATTTGTGAGCTTCCCGGCTTGAGAATGCACACACCCTTTGCCCTCTGCAGTGAAACAGGCATGGTGACTCCTTGCACACCAGTGGCCTCAGGGAACTGGGCAGGTCTGGAGAGTAGAGGGGCTGCCCATCCAGGGTTCCAAGACCCCTCTCTCTGACTCTGGTTGTCAGAGACTTACAGCTCCCCCCTTCTGTTCCCCAGAATGCCGCCAAGAAGAGAGACCAGGAACAAGTGGACCTCGAGGGTGAGAGCTCTGCGCCCCCCCGCAAGGTGGCTCGGACCGATAGCCCAGACATGCACGAGGACACTTAAGACTCACACTCCCCCACAGGCGCCTCTTGTCTTCTGTGCTCCCCTCCCACCGTGTGTAAGCGCCCCTGCCCGCACCCCGCCTTGTCCACACCACTTCCAACCTCATAGGAGCCAATGTATTTATTTTCCTTGAGTTTTTATTTATGCTGTATATGTCCCAAGTGATGGTTAAAGGGGCCGTCAGACACAGTAGTGTGGTATTGGTAGATGCTTTTTAAACATTGTTTCTCCCTCCATCCTGTTCCCCTCCTCCCACTTCTCCAGACGCCAGAGCGGGTCTGCGAAGGTCTCGAGCCAGACCTGCTGCATCAGGCAGCAGCTTGGGGGCCCTTCTGCCCACTCCCATCTGCTTGTCTAGGCCTTTAAGACTTGGCCTTGTCTCAAGTTCCACTGGGACCTATTCAGTGCTCAGATCCTGCTCTGAGCGTGTGCAAGGGGAAGTCGGCCCTTCTGGATCTTTCTCCTCAGTCATTTTATCATGGACTAGTGCGTGCTCCATGTCCACCCCAATAAAAGGGTCTTTCCTACTTGACCTTGCGTCTTTGCTCCGCGTGCCTCAGCCCTAGAGGACGGAGCCCCTGAGAGTCATCCCATCATCACCGAGGAGCCAAGAGGGAACCCCATGTACTGGGGCCCTGGGACCAGCTGGAGTCTCTCATGGGTCTGCTGTGATTGCTTCACTCACACCTATCTGGAGCCGCCCCCTGCTTCACCTGTCAAGGTGTCTCCGAGGATCAGGATGCCCCCAAGAGACAGTCAAGCTGCCCGGGGTGGAACTGTGGTGGACTGCACTCCGGGACACCTGCCGGCTGCAGTGGAGACGGCCTCAGGCACAGACCGCAGGCACATGGATGCCTGGGTGACGGTAGCCTGCGAGTTCCACGACCATGAGGGCTTCCAGCTGGGCTGGATTTGGAGTTGAGCTCAGGGCCATAGAGGGTGTTTGGGTTCTGCACAGTGGGTACAGGGCTCTGACCACAGGGCCCAAGCTGTAGGGGAAGGCCACTGCTCCCCTCACCGGTCCCAAATGGGGCCTCAGGGTTGGAGCTGAGTGCCAGGGCCTTGAATGGTGAAAGGTTGGACCAACGAGCTAGAGGACACATCAGGCCTTGGAGGAAGGGTGCCCAACACCACCCTGGCGAAGGTTCCAGGGCTGGCTGCCTAGCTGTATAGTAGGAGGCTTTACCTCCTAGCTCGGGGCTTTTCCTCACTTTGGTATGGAATTCCTAGTCAGAGGCTGGTCTGAGCACCTGGGTGGGCAGGTGGTTAGTCCCTTTGTTAGTGACTGGGTAAGTGGGGACTTAGAGGCCAGAAGGCAGCTGGAGCAGGCAGCACCCTGCCCATCTGCCCCAGTTCCCCTTGGGGCGTTAGACTATATACAGCTCCTGCCACTGCTATTTCTGGCATAGGTGGGGGTTCCCTGGCTGTGCAGGCCCCTCAGCTGACCTCCCCAGTTCTGCCTTTGGGCCCCCACCCTCTCTGCTTCCCCACGCACCAAACTCTGCCTTCCCACACCTCTGTGCCTTTGCACAGGCTGCTCTCCTGCCTTCAGTGAACCCTGATGTCTCACAGTCCCCCCAAAGTGTCGCTTCTTTTCAGTGGCTCTCCTTGGGCTCCTCCACCTTTGGGCAGGGCCCTGTTGGACATGTATGAGGTGACGTCTTCCCTGATCACATGGCAGAGCCCCAGGGACTCGGCATGACCTACAGTGGGGCACACTGGCCACTTGCTAATGTCACCCAGGGACCCCTGAAGGTGCCATATCCTCAATGCAGTGACCTGGGTGCCAGATGCCTTCCAGTGATCACACTCCAGTCTCTTTCTATTACCCCCTGGTTCTAGATGGCAGTCCTGGCAGTGGTTATGCCAGCCAAGTATGGCCAAGAGAATAGCCCCACTCCTGCAGGGCTGAGGCTGGCTCAGGGCCCAGGCCCGACTCCCAAACTGCTGAGTCCTTTTAGTACATTGAGACTTTTTTTCTGTCTAGGAGCCTGAAGGAAGGGCCTGATGCCCTGCAACTCCTCCTGGGGGGTCTGGAGTCAGCCCCCAAATTTGAGCTGACTTGGAAGCGGCCAGTCTGGAGTTTTCCATCTGTGGCCTCAAGACCCAGTTTTTAGGAGGAGGCCCCCAAGGGTCACAGAATGGGAGGGGTACCCCCAGTGCCAACTTCAAGTCACCCAGGCCCCCTGATACCCCTTCCACTGTTCCATCTTCTGGCACTGTTGAAATATACTTTTTATTGCATTTCTGCCGTTTTACAAAAATATGACAAAATAAATTAAAAACAAATAAATAACCGCCTATTCTGTGTTTGTGTATTTTGTTGGGTTTTTGGGTTTCTGTTTGTTTCCCCCATCCTGGTTGAAAGGTAAACGGCAGATGGGGGCGGCTCCCCCAGGCCCTTGCCCCAGGATGGGGTCACCAATACTGGGGCCCAAGTAGATTTTCTGGGTGGTGGCTGCTGCCATGTCAGTATTGCATATGAGAGCAGAACAGAGAGTGGGGGCGAGGGTTGGAGTGGGAGGAGGCTAATGCCAGCCAGTAGGCCAGCACACAGCCTGGGGGCTGGGGCTGGGTGAGGGTGTAGGGGGCTCAGAGGTGGATGGCAGCACTGGGGGTGGAAGGCTGTAGAAGCTGGCGTCCCCTGGCAGGGGCTGGAGGGCAGGCGGGGGCCCAGCCAGGGCACAAGGCGGGCACTCGGCAGCATCGGTGGGGGCTTGGCGGGGGGCAGCACCCTCGCCCCCACAGCCCCATGGCCCATCCCACTGCCAGCAGCCAGCAGGCGGCGTCGGGGGCCTGGGCAGCAGCGTTGGTGATGGCGGTGGCGCGGGGCTCCGGCTACGGCGGGTGCAGAGGGTGGGGGTGCCCACTGGGGCCAGTGCTGTCCCTGCGGAGGTGAGAGGGGCCGTTCCGGGGGGATGCCGTCCCGGCTGCCGGACCCACTCAGGACCCTGCCCCGTGCACCCTCCTGGGTTTCCAGGCACATCAAGGGCCTTATTGCTTCTGATCAGTGATGGGTGGGCATTTCAGGTACATCTCCTCCCATCACAGGGGGGACACCAAGGAAGTCCCTCTAACTTCTAACTATGTCCCTAGTGCTGCAGCTGCTACCTCTAGGGCTCCCTAGGGATGGGCTGCTCACCCAGGGCAGGGTGGGGGGTGGCAGAGTGAGGCCCCTGCTCAGCACAAATGTGGGCCCAACATCCAAACTCCCTGGGTGAGCAGCTCTAGTCCCTACTCCAAGAAAGGTCTCCTGGAACAGCTGGGCTGCAGGGTAGGGACTTGCATAGAGGCCTGGGGGGGAGTTTCATCCCCCCAGAGTGAGCTGGGTGTGGGGTCTAATGAGGGCAGGAGAGGCTGGGCCAGGTGGCAAGGGAGCCTCCCTTATCTCTCCTGGCACCAGAACATGGCAAGGACACCCTGGGTGGAATGCTAGGACAGGGGGCTTTGGCATCCCTCCCTGGGGGTAAGGAGGGTCAGGCACAAGGCTCCAGGCTCTCAAGGACCTAGAGACACTGAGTAGACTTTGACTGACAGGCTCCAAGTACCATGCACTCAGGTCCCCAACCAGTACCAAGACCAGGCCTTCACTGGTCTTCATCCCATCAACCCCTCTCCCCAGACCTGGCCACCCCACCCCTAGCCCCAAAGCCCAGCCCAGAGTCCCCACCCCCGAGTTAAAGCTTATGACCTGAGCCTTCCTCTTCAGGCCGGGGGGCATCTGGCTCCTCAGCCGCCGCCTCGTCTGCCGGCCCACTCCGCTGAACCCGGCTGCTGCCACTGCCAGGGGTCCCATCCGGCCGGGCCTGCCCTCCCGCCCCGTTGGACCCGGCCTCAGCCCGGGCCCCACCGAAGGGGAAGAGCTTGCCAGCGTGGAAGGCCTTGGGTGGGGAGTGGCTGCGCTCAGGGTCCCGCCTGGTCTCAGGTGACTTGAGGAACTTGAAGCTGAGGAAGGCCGGCAGGCGGGTGTCGCTGCCGGTAGGCGACTGGGCAGGCGGCGGCCGTGTGGTGAGGCTGGTCCCCACATTAGCTAGCGAGGAGGCAGTCCCTGATGACAGGAACTTGCCCTGCAGTGGGATGATCTGCTTCAGCTTCATGACGTTGTTGGGTGCCAGCAGGGACCCTGGGCGCTTGGGCCGCTCTGACCCGTGGCCACCTGCCCCACTGCCCTTGGCCTTGGCTGAGGCCTTCTCAGGGGCAGCAGGGTCCAGTCCAGAGCCCTCGGCTCTGGACTCTTCCCGGCCACTGGCGTCCCGTTCCCGCCGCGCGTGATGCTCCGCGTGCCGCTGGCGCTCCTCCTCCTCCCGCCGCCGCCGCTGCTGCTGTTGGAAGCGGTGCTGGGCCTGGCGCTCATGTCTCTGTAGGCAGAGTAAAGCTGTTACCAGGACTGGGACGAGGCTGTGCGCCGATACCCTCTCTGGAAGTGGGGCAAGTTCCAAACCCTTATTGGGTGCCAGCGGCATCCCTGGATCCACACTGGGGCTCTCTGTGGAAGTGGAGAGAGATCTAAACACTTATTGGGCACCAACTGCATCCTTGGACCCATGCCGGTACTTTCTGAGAATTGAGAGAAAGAACGTCTACTTGCCACCAATTCCGTCCCCGGCTGCATGCCAGGCACTCTCAGGAGTTGGAAGAATGGAAACACATATTGGGCCTCCACAGATGCCCTGACTTCTGGAGAATCAGCAAGAGAACCATGATGGGTACAGACCAGACTCTGCACTGGCCATTCCAGAAGCCAGTGGCCACACGAGCTCCGACAATGTCCACTGACATGCTTAAAATCAAAGAGACCTTCCATTTCTCAGGGGCATCTGCTCTACTTCAAGTACTTACTCGCCGTGGGCAAGAGAGTCGATGGGCAGCAGATCATCACGGCGAGCCCCTCGGCCAGCTCTGTAGTTCTCCGAGGAAGGTGGCAGAGACCCGGCTTCTAGGAAGCCTCAGCTGTGTCTCTGACCCCTACCGGGATGCTCCGCTCGAGCTAGCAGGTGGCTTAATATCATCAGTGCCACCCCGGTCCTGAATGCCGCCGGGATGTGAGACGGGCCCAGACCTGCTCTGATGCTGATCATTACCCCGGGCTCGGCACATCTGACCTGCTGTGCACTCAGCCACTGAGATCCGCTCCATCTTCACCACCAGCCAGGGGCACAGGAACCCCATGGAGTGGGTAAACTGACCCTGGCCAAATACCTTGAAGGCCTCCCGGCGTTGGTACTCAAGCTTGGCCATCTCCTCGGCCACCCAGCCCGGGATGTCAGGAATGGCCACATGGATGAGGTACTTGAGGAGCAGAGCGAAGTGCTGAGGGACAGAGAGCAGGTTGCAGGCTCACAGACGCCTGCCAGTACACCCACCCCCTGGGTTCCTCACCCACTGTCAGTCCCACCTCCAGCACCACCACAGACACGATGGCTGCCTCAGGGCTGAGCCAAGGGAAGAGACGCTGCAGCTGTCCACACTGGCCAATCAGGTAGCAGTTGACCACGATGGCCAGGACACCCATGGCCTCCATCACTTTCTGCAAGGGGGACACAGGGAGCTCAGGCCAGGCTGGCCACCGCCCCTAGGGCCCTGTTCCTCCCAGGTGTACCCCCTCTCCTTCTGGGCCTCCGTTTGAGCGCAGGCCCTCCCCCCACCTGCCACTGGCCGATGCTTTCCACCCGCTGCCCAAAAGGCCGCTGCAGCCCTGTGCAGAGCTTAAGAGCGTCACTGCGGATCTCAATGAGATTGTTGACCAGAGCACAGAGTGCAGCCAGTGGAAAGGCAGATGAGAAGAGCACGACGTAGCCAAACTGAACAAACATCTCCTGGTAGTCCTGGAACGTGTCCTGCAGAGAGAACCTGGGAGTAGCCTCTGGCCACCCTCGGGTTGGAAGGCCTGCTACCTAGGGCACCTTCTTCTACCAAGCCGAGCTCCCTCAAAATATCTCCCTCAGGCCTTTCTGGTAGGTTCTCTACCACGTCAAAGGCCCTGCTATCTACCCCCACCACCCACCCGGAGACTGCGTGCCACCTCCTTGGAGAGCCCTGCCTCTGCTGCCAAGACCCCCTCCTCACCTCATACTTCTTCATACAACTCTCCAGCTCAGCCTGGGTAAGCTGAGGTGAATGGTCCTCCTCCGGTGGGTCGATCCAAGATGCCCGGTTCTGTCGCCGCTGCCTCCGAGCAGAGTCCCCTGAGCCTGGCTCTGGCTCTGGGCCCCCATCAGGCCCCTGGTCTCGGCCCTCACCCCCAGCTCGGCGGAGCAGGACAGCGGGCGGCTCTGGCTCAGGGCTGCCAGGAGCCCCCTCGGCCTCATCATCCTCCTCCTCGGCTAGTGTGAACACTCCTGGCTCCAACCCCTTTTCCACCATGGTGGGGCTCCCCTCCTCCAGGAGTGCCTCGGGGTTTGGGCCAGGCCGCTGCCGCCTAGCTCCCCGCTCAGCAAAGCTGACCTTCTTCAGACGGAGCCCACAGTCCAGGAGGCCACCCTCCTCGCCCTCCTCCTCCTCCTCGTCCTCCTCGTCCTCTTCCTCCTCTTCCTCCTCCTCCTCCTCCTTGCCCCCCCTTGGCCCATCTCCCACCTCCCCCCCTTCGCCCACCGGCTGTCGCTCCACCGTGGCCTCCTCTTCCTCCTCAGGAGCCCCACAGCCCCCGCTGAGACACCTGCGGCCTCCCCCACCACTGCATCCCTCTTCTGCCTGGGGTTCGAGGCGGTGAGGTGCAGGGCGCCGGAGGCTCAGCAGGCTGAGCAGGGCTTGGGCCAGCTCCCAGGCGGCCTGCAGGCCAAACTCGCCTCGGCCCAGGCGCCGGTACAGGTGTGGCTGCAGGACCTCGCGCACGTTCTGGAGGAACTGGCGAGTGATCAGCAGTGTGGCCAGCATCTGGGGGCAGGAAGGGGTGAGAGAGGCTGCGTGGGGGTGGGCGGGGTCTTGGGCACAGAAACAGCCTACTGGTTTGGGGCCCCCTCCTGCAGCATGTTTCCACACACATGCCTTGAACCCCCGTTCCTGAGTCCACTCCTTTGGATATGGAGGCCCCAGTGTTCAGCCTCCGCCACAGCTCACTTGCCACCAACCAGAGCCTGGCAGGCCACAGCACTCCCAGCCAACCGAACTGCAACCTCCACCCAGCTTTAAGCACCACCCAGGAGCTCAGCCGGTGCCCCTTGCCAGCAGCACCCCACCCCCTCTAAGCATGCGCCCCTGGTTCGGCATGAGACCCCAGCACAGCACACTGCCCACACTGGCGAGGCCCCGTGGGCTTGCCACCTGCCCATACTTTGGCCCAGGCCACGAGCAGAAGGCCCCGGAGGGACAGGATGAGCAGGCGGAACCGCAGGGCCACGAGCGGGACCAGCACCGCCCGAAGCTGCCGCTCGAGGCTCTGGGACAGGGACAGGACGAGCAGGAGCTGTGGAGGGACCGATGGACAGATGGACGGACAGATGGGGGGGCAACAGGCAGAGAGGACGCACAGACAGACGGACAAAAAGGAGAGAAGGATGGAGGAGGGGGGGGAAGGGCTGGAGAGCCCGTGGACCCCTGGTGCCGGGGCTAGCCCCCCACTGGCCGCCACTGGGGGGCACTGACTCGGGCCACAGCCTCACCTCTTTCAGACGCTCCATATCCTTGAGGTAGAAGCCAATGTAGAAGAGGCTCAGGTACGAGTTGACAAACTGGAACTGTGGGGAGCAGACAGGCAGGTGATCACCCTGCCGCCCCGCCTGCAGAGCTGTGCCTCATGCAGAACCAGGTCTCCCTGGCAAGCATTTGCCCATTAACTGGCCACCACACTCACCAGGACAACCTTGATGATGAGGTGCTTCTCATAGGCGCTCTCCAGCCGGTAATTCTCTAGGGGCCGAGGGGGCAAGTGAGGGGTGTGTCCCACGTGAGCAGTGGGACATTCTGCCCAGGCAGGGGCCCCCCTCCACAGGGCATACCCATGTCATTGAGCCAGATGGCGAGCTTCTTGTAGCCCTCAGCACTTATGCTGACCAGCAGGGCCAGCACAACCTTGGGAAGGAATCGGATGAGACGAGGCAGCCCCTTCACACTCAGCACGAGCTCCTGCAGGACCAGGGAGGGCGTCAAGGTCACCCCAGCAGCTTGGGGTAGACCTAGGGAAGGGGTCACCTAGGTGAGGGGTCACCAGGCTGGGGCCAAAGCAGGAGTGGGTTCTGGAACTCACCTGCAATTGGAAGCAGCCCAGCATGAGAAGGAAGACACAGGCCAGGCAGCTGAGACACAAGGGGAGGCTCACAAGAAGCTGGAAGAGCAGCCGCTTCCACGGTGGGTAGTAGAACTCCTCGGCCCGGGTCACAGGGCTGATACGCCGAACGCCCTAGCACGGGGTAAGGGGCGGGCCCTGTATAAGACCAGGGGGTCTACTGCCTCACACATCATGCCCTGATCCTCACGGTGACCCCTCTTAAATATACCCTCCCCTCAAATCCGACTTCCTACTCCTTTTCCTCTGAGCATGCAGTATCCTCCCCCACACCCACCCTACTTACTTTCTCTCCTTTAGCCCATTCTAAGAACTCTTCGGATTCAGACCCCCTGCAAAACTGACCCTGAACTGGGGTCGTGGCTCCTCCACAGCTTCCCCAGGTGAGTCCAGAGTCCCCCATTTGTAGGCTAGCTCTGCTCCCCTTCTTTTCCATTCTTCCAGGAACAGTGTTGACCAGACCACGTTGAAGAGAGCAAAGACCACACAGGATACATCCCGGCTTGTCTGGATTAATGGAGGGGGCTGAGGTGAGTGGGCTGTCCCAGGGATGAGGGTACCTGGGGCACCCAAGCCTCTGCCCAGCCCACACCCTTCACCTGATCAGCCTCGGTGAATGTGTACAGGACTGAGCCGAAGACAGCTGGGTACACCATTGCCGAAGTGTAGAAACCCAGCCAGGCAAAGTACATGGCAATCTTGACACCAAAGTAATCACAAATCTCATCTATAGGGGGAAGAGGGAGTCCTGGTCAGCCCTGCCCTCCTCCTGGATCCCTGCCCATCCCCAGATCCAAGCCATACCCAGGGGCTGGTTTTCACACACGGCTTGCACCCATGACTTCATGAGGCGGTTCAGGATACGCTGTTCATGGACTGGGAACACCTGCTGGATGATCCCACGGGCTGCCAGCTCAGGGACTGTTAGGGGACAAGAATGGCGGATTCTGCTTCTCTGCCTGCTCCTGGTCTGGCCACCCCATCACTCCCTTACCCCCTCTCCACCTTGGGCTTTTTGCCTACTCTTACACCAGCAGAGGCTCTTCCCAGAGGAATTCTGGGTGGACAGTATATCTGGTTCTCCTTCAGAATTTGGGAGGGGCAGGGGCATGTAGGAGGGGGTGAAGGAAAACTGGAAGTGTGGGTCCCAGTGGGGAGCCAAGCTTTGAAATAAGGCCATTTGGGCCTCAAATCATTACTCTCAACATGTAAGGAATGATGCAAAGTTGATGTCAGGAGGTGACCTGCAGGAGGTGACTGGTTTTCTGGAGGGGGGAACTGATTCCCAGGGCCACACCACAAATTCTACAGGGTTGCTGTCCATGGTACTGGCCCGACATCCGAGATCCCAGGGGACAAATCCCCTCCACACCTCCATTAAGACCCCGCCCCTTAAACTCATTGATTGGTCTGGCTCCAGGCCCCGCCTTTGTCCCTTGATAGATAGTTTTCCAGACACCGCATCGGACACTCACTGATTGGCTGGTCCTCCAAAAAGCGCACATTATGCAGTGCCTCGCCCTGCTTGGCTCTCAAGTTCTGCAGCCAGAAGCGAATGATGCTCTGGCGCTCCTGCAGGGGACAGGGTGTGAGCACAGGTAGCAGCCACCCAAGGGTTAGGGATGCACACTGGGGGACAGCTAGTGCACCTGGGATGTGAAGAAGCGCAGCTCACTTTCCACATTTTCGTAGATGAAATCCTCTTCGCAGGAGAAGCCACGGGTGCCACCACCAAACTCGGCCTTCACTGCTTTGCGTAGACCCAATTCATCGGCCCCTCGGAGTAGGCTGCTGGGAAGACAGGGGTGGGGGGATCATGGGGAGAATACTGGCAGCTTGATGACCACCAGGACAAACACAGGGTAGCTGGACCTCACAAAATGGTGTTTAGAAGGGTGGGGAGCCAGATGGCAAGGTCAGCAAGAGGCCAAGGACTCGCCTCTCATATGTGGCGGTGACGAAGAAGGCGTAGGCACGCGTGTGGCGGTGGTGGCGGACTTGCACGATGAGCTCAGGGATGCCCACACGGATGTGGTTCAGCAGCCATAGCAGAGTGTGGTCATCGGTGGTGTCTGCCAAGGGGCACAGGGACCCATGGCTCTTTGCCACGAGGGGTCTGAGGTTTCTCATAGACTCCCACTCAGGGAAACCAAGCTCAGGGGAGCCCTCTCTGGGCACTGGATGGGGGACACAGATACCTGGGAAGGTCATAAGCACATCACAGTTCTCCGTGGGTACTGTCTTCATCCATGCCTTATGGGACACCAGGTAGCGACCTGCCTGCAGGAGCCTCTTCCCAAAAAGCTTATCTGGGGGACAGGCAGGACAAACTTGTGTCAGGCAACTCCTACACTAGGAGCCTACCTCAGTCTTGACCCCTCCAGCTCTGTCCCTTCTCTACCTGCCAGGGCTTCTTGGTGCTCAGCATGGCATTCAAGACCCTGCGAACTCTGGCCTTGGGTTCTTTGCTTCCCTCCATGTCCTTGCACCAGTCAGGCCCTTCTCTAGGAATGCCCTTCCCCCAGGTCCTCACATACAAATCTTACTCATCTTGAGGCCCAACTCCGCCTCCAAACCACAATCAATAGCGCTCACTAGCAGTACCGAGCACTTCCCCATATTATGTCAGCCACCTCACAGCTGGGTGCGGTTCTTACCCCCATTTCACAGATGAGGAAACTGAGGCCTGGAGCGTTTATGTCAGACACCCAAGGTCATACAGTCGACCTGACCTGGGATTCGAACCCAGGACAGTGTGATTCTGTATCTTCTGCGGAGGATCTCAAGCGCATCCCTGCCCAGCTGTGATTAGGCAGCCCAAGGGGAAGGGGCCTGACCTGGCTCAGCCCCTCAGCAAGGGGGTGGGGGCGAGCCTCCGGGAGGGGCGTGTCCACAGTTCTCCTCCGGGACCCCTGCCCGCACGGTCTTAGTTGCTCCCGCCGACCGCGGCTGCAGTGCCGGGAGGAGCTGGCTCCTCTACTGGACTCCAGGCCCGGGACAGCTGACCCTAATCCCCTTCCCGTCCAATTGCCGCACGCACACAAGGCACCTGCAACCCTATCGGATCCAGCAGCCGCACACATACCCAGAACTCCAGACGCCGAGGCTGCAGGCTCGCCCTCCGGCGGGGGCCGCTTGCCGCGTTCGCCCTCCAGGGATGTGCCCCCCGCGCCGGAGGCGGTTTCGGCCATGGCGAGGGCAGGGCAGATCAGGTCAGGGGCTACGGGCGGCCCCGGAGGTGGGGGGCCGCGGGTTCATGCAGCCGGTGCGGCGGCCGAGCGCGCCGGAGGAGGAGACAAAGGCCGCGCCCGCCCGCGCCGGCCGCCGTCCCCGCGTGCCAGAGCGCTGCTTCTCGTCCCCGCCCGCGCCGAACCTCGATTCTCCTTAGCTTTGTGCACGTCACTCTAGAGTTCTCCACTCCGCCCTTGTTGTTTTCTGGGTTTCGTTCTCGCCCGCCCACCTCACTCTGTGGTGCTCGTCCCTGCCCGCACCTAAATTGCAGTTTCCACTTTTCTCTTGCCGTATTCTGGGCCTCGTCCCCGCCCAGCGCTGGCCACGCAGACTTAGTTTCTCCATCTGCAGAGGCGCGGTTTGGAATAAAATGGGCGGGATAAACTAAGGCAGGAGATGGGAGAGGGTGCGCCTGGTCAGAGCAGTAAATCAACTACCATTGGGGAGAAGAGAATAAATAATTAGAGCAAGTCCTGCCTCAGCACGCGTAGTTCACTTGCATAAGACACCCGTTCTTCATCCAGCTAACCCCTGCACCTTCCGATGTAAACTACTTAGAATTGCCACGTTTAAGTCTTTCTAGTTAAATGTGAACTTCAAATAAGTTAATAATTAAGATGTCCCCAATATCACGTAGGTCATTGTTAAATGTTATCCTTGGTATCTAGTCTGGCACCCGAATGATCCCAGATCATCCTGAGTAACCTCCTCCGTTAGACTGGGGTCTGGTCTGGTTCTCATAAGGCAAACACTAGAAGCTGATGTATACCTGTGATAGATGGGACAGCGCGCAGTCAGCGAATGTCATCGTTCCTCTTTTACAGATGAAAAAGCTGAGAGGGCAGGCTTGGGAGCCATGATGGGGACGGGGGTGGGGTGCGGTGGGGTGGGGGGTGGAGGGTTAGAACTCTAGTCGGTTCGACCAATTCTTTCCAAAGTGCAGGTGCGTCGCCCGCCGTCGCCCGCCCGCTCTATCCAAGAACCAGAAAATTGGCCGTGCGAAACTGGGAGAACCCGCCCAGTCGGTGCCGGGAATTCCATCATCAGCGCTTTTATTCTGCGATCCTGCGCTGTCCTAGGTTAACCTGAAAGTGATCTCCGTGACTCCCTTTCTGCCTCTTCGGAAGCCAGAGACAGACCAGACACAGCTCTGCAGAAGCAGGCGCGGGCCAGAGAGGAGAGAGGGTGGTGTTTGGGGTTTCAGAAAGGCTTCCTAGCGGAGGAGACCTTGGAGCTAGAGGCCTCTTAAGGATGAGCTTGTCAAATGAGTAAGGGCATCCGAGGCTGAGGGGACAGCGGGAGGCAAAGGTGGGCATGGCCTGGAGTGGTCTTGGAAAACAAATAGGAAAAATAATCTTCCCAGAATTTGGACAACATTTTCCCAAGGCCGGTAGCGTGTGGGTTCCCCAGAACTCATCCGTCCCAGCCACTAAGGTTGTCTGGCTTCGCCCAAAGCTACGAAGCGGCTAGATGGTATATGCAGGATCGGACGCTCTTTTTTCCGTAACTCCGCGGGTCCACAGTCAGACCCCGTCTTTCCTCCCACCCCTCATTTCCGGTGTCTCGGGTAGCGCAGCTTTAGAAGCCTAAAATCCCGTCGGATGTTGCCGGGGGAATGCCATTTCACTGCACCCCAGGGGCCGCGCCCACCCTCCGAATCAGCCAATACAAACGAAGGCCTTCGCTGGGTGGGCGGCACGTTTTCTAAAGGGCCCAATGGCAGCCAAGAGTCGGTAAGCGCTTTGCCGTCACTCCGCGGAGTGGGCGGGGCCTCTTGTCCGGACTTGAAGCCTCGGGAGAAGGGCGGGCCGGCGGGCCGCTGGCTGCGAACCCATGTGGCGGGGCCTGTGGACCCTGGTAAACCTGACGGCGCGTGGGCCTCGCAGGTGGGGCGCCCGGAGGGAAAGGGTGTGACAAACGGAGGCGCTGCTTGGGGCACAAACCTCCCTAGGAACTGGGGGCCTAGCTCCCTGCGGCTGAACCGTCTTTCCTGTTCCTCCAAGCCCTGTCTGTTCTGCCGCAGACCCCACACTGGGTCACCCGCTCTCCGAGACCTTAATTAGGTCACCTAGCGGCCGCTAATGGGTCCAGCCCTCTCAGCCAGAGAGCCTTCACTTGGAGCATCTCCCTTCTAGCGAGCCCTAGATCGACTTGCCACGCTGTGCAGAGCCTCCCAGATGCACTGACTGTCCTTCTTGTCCAGTCTCAGGCCGTTCACGCGCCAGGGCAGCGGTGCCCCGGCCCCGGGTTCCGGAGCCACCATATTCGCGCTGAGCTCGGGCCAAGGCCGCTGTGGCATCGCTGTGATTCGAACTAGCGGCCCCGCCAGCGGCCACGCCCTCCGGAGCCTCACTGCACCGCAGGAATTGCCCAGGGCTCGCTACGCCTCCCTGCGCCTGCTCCGCGACCCCCGCTCCGGGGAACCGCTGGACCGCGCGCTGGTGCTCTGGTTCCCAGGTGAGGAACTCCAGATCCTGAACCTCCTGTAGCTCCCATGACCCAGTTTACCCCCTCCATGCTGTGCCCTCCTTCTGACTCTCATCGCCTCACCACTTTAGGTCCCCAGAGTTTCACTGGTGAGGACTGCGTGGAGTTCCACGTGCATGGAGGCCCAGCCGTGGTGAGCGGCGTCCTGCAGGCCCTGGGTGAGTGCAGGCTTGGGTTGGAGGAGTTCCGACAGCTTTGGGGTCTGGTTGTAGCCAGGTGGGCCTCAGAATTCCGGGCATTTCCGTAGGCAGTGTGCCTGGGCTTCGGCCAGCAGAGGCAGGTGAGTTCACCAGGCGGGCGTTTGCTCACGGGAAGCTGAGCCTGACTGAAGTGGAAGGCTTGGCTGATCTGATCCATGCGGAAACGGAGGCACAACGGAGACAGGCCCTGAGGCAGCTGGATGGGGAGCTGAGCCACCTGTGTCATGGCTGGGCAGAGACCCTCACTAAGGTAAAGTCCCCATTCACCCATCCTCTGCACTAGAGCCCTGTCTGTCCAGCCCTTAAGTGGGAGTTTCTTGTCTTCAAGCGCCATCCTGGCCCCTTAGGTGGGGCTGAGCCTGGGCACATTGTCGGGCTAGGGGATGGGTTCCTGGATGATGATTCCACCTACCTTCTACCCCAGGCTCTGGCCCACGTGGAAGCCTATATTGACTTCGGTGAGGATGACAACCTGGAGGAAGGTGTTCTGGAGCAAGGTGGGTCTGCCTGGAGATGGGGATATGGGTACACTTGCCATCTCCACTCCCTAAAATCCTTCTGCTTTCCTTTACTCACAGCTGACAGCCAAGTACGGGAGCTGGAGGTGGCCCTGGGTGCACATCTTCGAGATGCCAGGCGTGGACAGAGGCTTCGTTCAGGCGCGCATGTTGTAGTCACAGGACCCCCCAATGCTGGCAAGAGCAGCCTGGTGAACCTGCTCAGTAAGTAGAAGCTAGACTGGTGGTAAGGCCAGGAACTCAGGAACTGAGCTCTGAGAGTGGGGGAGGGGTGGAGGTGGAGCCTTATGGAGAGTCCTTCATCTCCACCCTGCCCCTCATGCTCACCTCCCCAGGCCGGAAGCCCGTGTCCATCGTTTCTCCGGAGCCAGGGACTACCCGCGATGTACTAGAGACCCCTGTGGACCTGGCTGGGTTCCCGGCACTCCTGAGTGACACAGCGGGGTTGAGGGAGGGCGTGGGCCCAGTGGAGCAAGAGGGCGTGCGGCGTGCCCGAGAGAGGTGGGTGGGCTGCGAAGTAAGTAGGGGGGGAGACGACTCTATCCTCTCATGTTTCTTCCTATTGCATTTACTTTTTATTCCTCCTGAGTCAGAAAAGTCTGCTAAGCTCCCTTAATCTTGGGGACTTGACAGTTTGGGGAGGGCAGCCTATGAGTTGGGCCTCTGTCCTTGGCCAGCCCCTCCTGATGAACCCCCAGCATTGTGTTCTTCCCCCTAATGCTCAGCTCTTTCCCACGTGCTTGGCCCTGCCCCTTATTCTTTACCAGCCCTTCACCTTCCTGCTGCGTCTCAGCTGCTTCCACCCCTTGTCCTTAATTACCCAATTCTGGGGGTCACTGCGTAGCTGATTCTTCTTGTTCCCCCAGGCTGGAACAGGCTGACCTCATTCTGGCCGTGCTGGACGCCTCTGATCTGGCCTCTCCATCCAGCTGCAACTTCCTGGACACAATTGTCACCACCACCCAAGCCCAGAGTCCCAGTGGGAACAACCAGAGGCTCCTATTAGTATTGAACAAGTCAGACCTGCTCTCCCAGGGGAGCCCAGGCCCCGGTCCTGAGCTGCCCCCCTACCTGCTGCTGTCCTGCCTGACCAGGGAGGGGCTGGATGACCTCCTGGAAGCACTGCGAAAGGAGCTGGCTGCAGTGTGAGCCCCCCTCTCTCTATAGCCTCCTTCTACCCAAGTGGGAGAAAGGCAATGACTTTGGACACAGACCTGTGTGGTGGGCTCAGTTTCCGTATCTGCAGAATGGGTGTGGGTACCGGTGTTGCTTTCAAAGGTAGAGAGACCATGTGCTTTGTCCCTTCCAGGTGTGGTGACCCGTCTTCAGGCCCACCTCTTCTGACACGCACCAGGCACCAGCATCACCTCCAGAGCTGCCTGGATGCCCTCAGTCACTACAAGAAAGCCAGAGACCTCGCCCTGGCAGCTGAGGCACTTCGGGTTGCCCGGGGCCACCTGGCTTACCTCACAGGGGGTGGTGGCACAGAAGAGATCCTGGATGTCATCTTCCGGGACTTCTGTGTGGGCAAGTAAGGGAGCTGCTAATTCAGACCCAGCTGGGTGGGCACGTGGAAGTTTTGAGGACTCTGGCATCAGTTTAAGCCAAGAGACAAGTTTTCTTGGGGAGGAACTTGTCACCAGAGTAACTGCCTTCATGGGAGCAAGCCCCCCGTTGCTGCCAGTGATCAAGCTGTGATTGACCAGATCTCTTTGGGGATTTCTGGGTATTCAAGCCTCAGAGAGGGGCTGAATGGAGATCTCTTAGGGTCCCCGATGCTGGAGAAGATGAGTAGTGGGTTGGGACAAAGGAAGGAAGATCTCAGGGGTACTTGCTTTGTGGCTTTTAATTTATTTTGCAGATACCAAAGACACATAAAAAACTCAATTGCTCTAGAAATGTTTACATGTGGAATTCTCCCCTCTCCCCAGCTCAATTTGAGTCCCTCCAGAATTTTCTCTGTGTGTTTATATTTGCATTCTTATAGATGCACTGATAAAGTACATGTTTTACATTTTGTACATAAATTGTGTATACATTGCTCTGCAAGTTGTCGCTCCCTTTTTAATATTAATCTTGGAACTTTGCCTCTCATACCTTCTAAGTAACTCATGAAATCCTGGGCCCAACTTCCTCCGCAAGCTCATTCACTCCAGTCACTCACTCAGTGACTATCAAGTACCTGCTATCTGCCACAATTATACATAGTTTGTTGGCTATTTACACTGGCATAATGGGGTAGGTATTTAGTCACTGTTTTATGGAGGAGAAAATGGGCTCAGAGAAGTGGCCACTTGCTTGTGATCCAAGCTTTAGGATTTGCACTTAGCTCAGTTCAGTTCCAATCTGAGCTCAGAGCCAGAGTGCTGGGTATACAGTGGAAAACAAGCAGGTTCACCCTTGGCCTGGTGAAAAAAGAGACTCTTGTCCTTACAGTGAGGTCTGATGACTGGTGTGAGCTTACAAAGACGGTATCTGACCTGGCAGACATCTGAGGGCATGTATCCTGCAGAGGTCACCTAGTGGTGAAGAGGAAACCTGATGGGCGGGGCTGGTCAGAGTGTCCCAACCAGAGGACATAATGTGTGCAGAGGTCCTACATTGGGAGCATCATCTGGAAAGCTCAGGGACATTCAAGGGACAATGAGATCGCCAGTGTGGCTGGAGCAGAGTGAGCAAAGGGGATTGAGGAGGGAGATGAAGTGACAGAAGTGGAAGGAACTTACACAATGGGGTACAGCTGATACCTGAACAATGCAGGAGTTAGGGACAACAGACCTACCTTATGTAACTTTTGACTCCTTAAAACCTTAACTGCTAGCCTGCTGTTTACTAGAAGCCTTACCAAGAACCTAAAACAGTTGATGGATATGTATTTTGTGTTATATATATTGCATACTTACAATGAATTAAGCTAAAAAGAAGAAATATTATTAAGAAAACAGTAAGTGAATCATCAGCTCATCTTTATGAGTTGTAAGGAGGAAGAGGAGAGGAAGGGTTTTAAAAACGCGTAAGTCAGGCCTCCCTGGTGGCTCAGGGGTTAAGCCTCAGCCCTGTGGAGGCTATTGCCAACCACTGCAGCTCAAGTTTGATCCCTGGCCAGGGAGCTGACCCACATGGGGCAGCAGGCCTCTCCTGTCTTGCCCACTGCTCCCCTCAGCTTGTTCTGCTTCCCATACTATCTCTGGTGACTCCTCTCACCCTCCACCTCTGCCTTACACCCCAGTTCATAAATGATATAATTAAAAAAAAGTAAACATAAGCGGATGGGCAGGGGCCACTGGGTCTGAGACTTTGGGGCCTGATGTGGCAGTAGCCACACACCAGGGGGCGCTATGCTCCAATGAAGCAGAGGCGCTGTTCGTGATCAACGCAGCAGAGCCTCGGGTTAATGGGATGAAGGCTTCCCCCTTGCGAGCAGCAGAAACAAGTTCTCAAAAAGGATCATGGTCTTTCCCAGAGTCAGGGAAGAAATCTCCACCTGCAGTTTCATGCTCTTGGGTTTTGGGAAACATGTGAGTATAGGCTGGGATGGATCCCAGACCCATAAAGATGCCAGACTCTTCCAAATAACATGGATCCCAGACTCTTCACAGTCTTCATTGCATCATCTTACTATTTGGTGATCTGTTTGCCTGTTCAGCAGCTGAAGTCACTTGTGGATGGGGGCTCCCTGAGGGAAGGGGTTACACCATGATCCAGCCATGGGTATTATTGTCACACCCATTTGGTAGGAAAACAAGCTGATACCCAGAGAGAAGAAAGCAATGATGGGGGCTGGGTGTTGGGATGGTCCAGAGGGCTTCGAAGAGGGGTGAGTGGGGTGCCGGTGGGAAGGGAGACGCTCCAGGGGCAGGATGCATGGGCCCCACCCACCTCCCCCAGGCCCTGGCACACAGCTGCACTGAGGTCCTTGGCTACAATCCCTTTTTTCCAAGAAGGGTGAGGCAGTTTGTGGGAAGCAGCCATGGGGGTTATTTATAGAGGTCACAGGAAATCCCCAAAGAGTCAGAACCTCACCAGGAGGCTGGACCACAGGGTCAGGGAGGGGGTCAGCCAATTGCTCCCTGGCTGGTACTCAGCCCCTCCTGGGGCCTCAGGAGAACCACCAGCCTGGGAGAGTCAGAGCCATGTGGTCAGGGCAGGAGAGTGATGGTTGGGGCTGGGGACTACATGTGGGACACCTAGGAGGGCTGCCTGGAAGAGGAATGTCTGGTGCTAGACCTTGGAAGGAGATGAGCTTGCCAGGCAAGTAAAAGGTGATCTAGTCTGAGGGTACAGTGCAAATTAACAGTTGGGGAGTCTTCAGTCAGAGTAATAACCACCCAGAAAAACTGGAGCAAGGGCTGGGCTGTGTGTGAAGGGAGGGGCAGAAAAGAGCTGAGGGTCCCTCCGGACCAGTATGGGAGTTATACTGGAGGCCAAGGCTGAAGTCAGGGAGTTGGACAGCGGAGTCACGGTCCCCACGGAGGCCAGGTTGGTGGGTTCGTATCCTGGGATGTTCCAGGTGGGAGAGGCTGCCCAACGGACAGAGACTTGTGCCCAGTGTTTGGAGACTTGAGTGACTTCTTATAGCCATTTCACAGATGATAAAATGAAGGCTGAGATGGATTGACCCAAGATTCAAATCCCCAAATTAAGCCTTCTCTCCAAGACTGCAGGCTGCCTGAGCAGTAGTTTGGAGTCCAGGGACGTCTCCACTTCCTTGGGGCCTCTTGATTGGCCCGTCTGGGCAGGCTGGCCGGGCTGACCCCCTGCCCTGGCTTGGCGGGGCCCCAGCTGAGTGTTTCCTGCAGCCGCTGTCTCTCACCCGTGTTTCCGGATCCCGGAAATATCGCTCCTTTGTCCCTCCTGGCTGGCCTGCCCTAAGCGTGGCGTTGCCAACCTCAGCTTGTCTGACTCATTCCCTCTCTGTCCTGGGTCTCAGAGGACAGTGGTATTGGTTGCAGGGGTGGGGCCTGGGGAGGTTAGAGGGGAAAAGACCATTTGAGATTCTACATTTGAATTTTGGGTCATTTCCCCATCATGCATTCCTTCCTGGAGTTGTTAATTTTCAGAGCTTAAGTTCCAGGCCTGGGGTTTCTGAATCAAAGAATTTGTGCAGCTTGACTTTTATTAAATGTTACCAAATTCATTTCCAGAAGGGACCAAAACTGGATTTTTATTTCTACCAGTCTGGTAGGAAATTGCTCCTTTCCCTGTGACTTCACCAACAGTGGTTATTATGATTTTTAAACATTTCCCCCTCGGTCTGCTGGGGATCAGGCGGTCTCCCCATGTCCTGCTAATGTTTTTCCTCAGCTACCCTCTAACTTAGTGTCCTGTTAGTTGATGCACACCCAAACTGGACACCGGTGTTCTTTCTGAAATCCCATTCTGCCAAAAATAAAACCAAACAAAACAAATGTCCTAGGACTCTTGTGAGACTGTTCCTGGAATCATTTTCTCGAGAAGTTCCTGCCATTAACAGCAGCTTGCAGCATCCTGGCAATTGTCACTACAATTGCAAACCAAGAAAAACAAAGCCACAAATTATTAAACTGCTTTTTAAGAAACTCTTTTAAAATCCATTTTAAAGAAATACCGTATAACAGCAGTGAGGCCACTGCGGGGCCTGGTAGTAGGCTCCCTAGACCCTTCTGTCAGATGGTGACTTTTGACTTTTTTTTCCACATAAGGAAAGTCCTACACCTGGAAAGGGGGACACTGGTACCCCACTCCCAGATTGAATGCTCTTCTGAACTGGGACTTAAGGGAAGGAGTTCTTGTTTCTAGTCTTTTCTTCCCCATGGCCATGAAGCACCTCTTCAAAGCGGAAATCATGACTCTGGAATCTTTGAAGGATTTTCTGGCGTTTATTTGGTGTCAGGGAAAAGGTAAATGTCTTCCCTTTCTACTTCCAGGCCCAGTGCTCTGGGGGTGACAGGTGAGGAAAGGGAATAAGAAATTGGAGGCGGGGTGGTGGGATCAGGGGCTGTGTAGAGGGTGGAAGCTGGACTCCTGTGCCTGGAGAGCTGCGACATGGGGCCAGGGCTGGGCAGACAGAGGGCACGTGACGGCTGTCGCTCGCTTGAGTCTGGGCCGTGTGAGCGGTTCGCACACGGCGCCTAGGCATCCTTGTGTCCATCTACGCATCTGTGGGAACGGGGCTGTGTGGTGTGGCGTGAGCCTGGGAGAGTACTGTGGGGTGTGGCTGGGCGGGGACGGCGTGGGCACAGGCTGAGGGCACCCAACTTGCTGTGTGTGCGGAGGTCGTGAGCTTCAGTCCTCACTGCATCCTATGCCACGGGTGCCTCGCTGTGCCGTTTCTGCTCACCAGCCGGCCCGGGGCACCCCTCAGTCCTTGGGGTCCAGGGCCCCCTTAGCCACTAGGTAGGGATAAGAGATGGGAAGGTAACAGTGTGTTAGACAGAAGGACAAACCTTGGACAGATGGGCGGCCCTGTTTTGTTTCCGAGCACCCTAGGCTTCCTTTGGGGTCAGCCTCCCCACGAGAGCCTCCTGCTTATTGAACCTCTCAGGACCCGTGGGACTCAAATGTTTGCCTTTCCATTACATAAATGAAGGCACTGAGTTCAGAGCAGCCACCTCGTACTCCAGACTTCATCTGTGGTCAGACGATCCTGGGAGTCTGCCCAAGTCCCTGACCCACCCTTGGACCCAAAGGCAGGGCCTCAGCTCTCTTCTGTTTACACAGAACCACCAGGCTGGACCCTAATCCATTCCAGGCAGGGTTTTCTAATGAGCCTGCCCTTGCTCTTATATCCCCCATGGCTCCCCAGCACTCACAGGACAAAGCTAGATCCTCTGGACTGGCATTCCAGACTCCACCCACTCTGCCCCCTGCCAGGCCTCCTCATCAGGGACTCAAACCCTGCCAAAGACCTCCAAATTTCCAAGAAGATTTGCACTGCCTCCCCTTCTGCCCCCTGCCTTTGCAGAAGCCATCCACTGCTGCGGTGCCCTTCCCCCTCCAGGGCCTGGCAGAAGTTCTCATGAGGGGTCAGGGGTTGGCGCAGAGGCTGTTTCCTGGTGGGGGAAGAGGGGTCTCAGCCAAGTCCTGCTTCCTCTGGCCCCCCTCCCTTCCTTCCCTGGCTCTTCCCTGGGGCCCCACTAGCCTCAGGTTCCTTGGCTGATTCCTGTTCCCCTCCCCCTTCCAGGCTCCTGGCCAGTCCTGATATATATTCTTCCCCCACTCCTGCCTGCTGGCTTGCCAGGTTTCAGAGACGAGCCCCCCACCACCACCCCTTCCATCGCTCACTTGACCAGCGAGTCCCCTGGCCCTTGCTTTCCTTCATCAGCCTAGGAGCTCACCTCCTCCCACTTGCCCTCCTCGCACCCACTCTACCCCAGCCCTCACCCAAACTCAGGGTCTTTGCATGGGCTGTATGAGTGGCTTGGTGCACCTTTCCCAGGATGCCTCCTCACGGCTCTGAGAGGTCTCTAATCAAATGTCACTCTCCCCTAAGATCAGGGAAGACTGTCTTGGCCCCCCCAAGAACAATTCCAACCTCCCCACAACACCCCTTCTCTGTCGCACTCATATCCAAGGGGCCCTAAATGACTCATCTCTATGATCTGGCGGCCCACAGTGGGCCCCACGAGGTCAGGTTTCTGTTCCTTATGGCGTCCCATATTCTTGGGCTGAATGAACAAAGAATCATTATAGTGATGCAGGTGAACTTGAGCCACATTTGCTGTGTGCCTGTCACAGCTGGTGCTGAACTCTCACCTTGACCTTCCACACTGAGACTTCTGCCATCTCTACCCATGTAGCCCCGGAGCCAAAATTTATCTAATACTTGTAGTCATATCAAGTATGACTACAAGTCATATTGTTGTTGTTGTTTTTTTAATTAAAATAAATTGATTGCCAAAGAAAATCCATCAGTTGGGGCCTCCCTGGTGGCCTGGGGTTAAGTCTCAGCACTGCTACTGCGAGGGCCCACCATGAAGGCCTGGGTTCCTCCCAGGCCAGGGAGCTGACCACATGGCCGGAAGACCTCTCCTGACCCGCCCACTGCTCCCCTCAGCAGAGTTTCAGTAGACCCACTTGTTCTGCTCCCCACTCTGTCTCTGGTGAATCCTCTCACCTCAGACCTATACTCCAGTTCTGTATGCATAAATAAATAAATCTTTAAAGGGCCCTCCCTGGTGGGGCAATGGGTTAAAGCACAGCACTGCAGGCAGGCCGCAGCCCCTTCAGTAGGAATTCAATTCACCAGTCCCGGAGGTGACCCACATGACACACCAGACCTCTTCTGTCTTGCCCGCTGCTCCCCTCAGCAGTGTACTTTGTCGATCTGCCTGTTCTGCTCCCCACTCTGTCCTGGTGAAGCTTCTCAATCCCCTTGCACCTCTAGCCTGTACCCCAGTTCTGTATGCATACGTGAATAAATAAATCTGTAAAAGTAATCAGTAAAATTCCCTTTAAAAATAAATAAACAAAAATAAATCTTTGAAAACAATGTTCAACTAAAGAGCAAGGTGTTCTGATCAAGTTGGGGTGACCTCGGGTATTCCCTGGTTTTGTGAACTTGGGATATGCATGTGTTGGGGGGGGCTGTCATTAGGTGGATGCATTAGCATCTGGGAGATGTTATCAAGCCCTTGAGGAAAGGATTGGAGTGGAATAGGAATTGACCCTCTCGACTGGACTCTCGAGGGGGTGATTTAATGCACTGGGTCTACCCCACATTTGGCACATCAAAAATCTCCATGCTATGATCCTGTGAGCCTGGATCGCCCAGTGTCAACTGAGGGCCCAGAGCTGCAGCTTCCTGCTCACCTGCGACTTTGCAGGTGCCTCTCACTTTCCCCCTCCTTTTTCTAATAAACCTGTACTTTAAAAATATATAAAAAATACAGAGAGTGAATCCAGAGCTGATGGCCCCTGCTCGCCCCTGGTCCCTCTCCCAAAGGCAGGCAAAGCAAGGCTGGAGCCCAGAAGTCCTTCCTGCGACCCTGCAGAGAGAAGCAGGAGGGGCCCAGACTTAAGTAAGCATTGTTTTCTCCATCAATGGGATGTCATTTGGGGTAAACAATGTCAAGAGCTTCCCCGGTCTCATCTGGGGCCAGGACAGGCCTAGGCTGAGAGCCTGGCTCCAGCCAGGACCTGCTGACGCATGACCTGGGGCTGGTCACTTCCTTGGGGCTTCAGTTCCCTCCTCTGAGAAGTGGGGTTAGTAATAATAGAAGCTCCTTCCTTGCCACCAGGGCTCTGGGCCAAGATGGAGAGAGGAAAACTGTTTGCTGGGAGCAGGGGCCTCCTCCCCTCCCCCACCCCCATCTCAGACATCCCTCTCTGTAACCTACTTGAGGGATTGCTCCCAGAGCTTTCCAGTGAGTTAGTTGCGAGTTACGTGAGCCCTGAGTCAAGGGACTGAGTGCCCTGCCAGAGGGTTTGTAGAAAGAGGCATCGTGGAGATGGAGTTGATGTGGAGACCTCCAGTGGGTAGTTGACAACTCTGGAGGTTGGTTTGGCCCAGGGCCTGCATTTCACACCCCACCCCACACTGGAAGAAACCCAGGGTTGACAATACCAAGTGGCAGAGTCAACAAGGCACTGGCTTTGGGGTCAGAGGGCTCTGACTTAAAGTCCAGAATGCCTCTCTGAGCCTCAGACCTCACCGTGCTGAAGGATGCCAAACCCTGCCTCCCTGGTGAGCTGTACCGATGGGAATATAACCCAGTCATAGGAAGGCCACATGATGTTTTCGGGGTGATGGCCTGAGTCACCCTCCCTGGGACATGCACGGTGTGACCCCATAGATAAGCAGATGCTGGGTGTTGAGGAAGCTACAAACAGCTCTGCCACTCCCTGATCTGTTAGCCAGGGCCCGAGGTAACCCATTCTGTACCGAATTTTCCTCATCCAGAAAGTACGGATCATAATAGCTCACTCACTGATGAGGACTGAAGGAGTTAACTGCAGAGTGCTTAGAATTGTGCTGGGTTCATGGTGGGATCTAATTATTACACACTTTTCATCGCCTTCTTATGGCTCCTTCACAGTTCCTCCAGCCTCCATTCAGGGGGGTTCACATGTCTGGGTCACTGCTGTATCCTCAGGCCCAGCATAGGGCCTGGTAGAAAGCAGGTGTTCAATTAAGGAAGTAGCAAGTACAAGATAAGCTTCCCTCCACGCTGGTCCTGTTCCCAGTCTCCTCCTGCCTAGCGCCTCACCTGGATGGGGATATGGCATTGCGTGCAGGGATCCTTTGGGATTCCAGGATCCTCTTCTTGAATTCCTCTAGGTGAGCAGGGTCTGAAAGAGAAGAGGTAGGGTGTGACCGTCTACATCAGGAACCCCACTCCAGGCCAGAGTGGGCAACCTGGGATACCAGGTAGTAAGGAGTCCCCTTACCCACTCTACCCTCCATCACTCACCAATGGGTGGGGGGTTGGGGGCTGGGCCCACAGGCCTGGACATGGGGACCAGCTGAGACTGTAAAAAGAAGGATAGGTTAGTCGATACCAGAGTTTCTGGCTAAGTCCAGAGAAGCTCTTCCACATCCTTGGAGACCTGTGTCTGAGGCCCTTCCAGGGTGTAAAGATAGGCAGATACCATGGAGAGGGACATGTGATAATGGATGTACAATCCTTACACCCACCCTCCCTCGAATGTCAGGTTGACTTCCCTTGGCAGCCCCCAGATGCCCCATTCTGCAGAAACGGCTGGCCTCAGTCTCAGCACCACTTTGGCCTCACTCCATGACTACAGTTGAATCCCTGTACCCAACCCAGTCCCCGCTAGACTAAAGCAAACCTGCTCTGTAAACCACATGTATCTCAATCCTCAATGCTATCCCGTGATCGCCAGGTCTTCCAAATTCAAAATCCAAAACCAATTCATAACCTGAGCCCTTACAATCTGATCCAAATATGAAAATGGGAACTTTATTAGACTCAAGTCCAGTCCTAATCTGATATCTGTAACTAGCTCTAACTCTACCCTAAGCCATCCCCTAGATCTAGCCACTATGAAAATGCCAAGCCCAACCCTACTCCCCCATTGTCGGCCCTGCTCCATCATGACCACTCACAAGCGCCTTCCCAATGCCACACTTAGCTCCAGCTCAGCCTTAGGCCACAACCTCCGCGTGAAATAAGCCCAGCCTGGTCTACTCCAGATCAGCACCCGCATTTCTTCTACTCTACACCAAACCCTAACTCTCCTTATCTCAGCCCCAATGTATTCCAACCCTAAGCCAGGGTCACCTGATCTTTTACCTCAAATAGATCCCAGCACCAGTCCTATTCAACCCCCAACATCCACCCTAAATCAATCCAATCTCAACTGCTAATCCATGGTCAATGCCAATTCCAATCCTAATCCTAATGCATATGAAATCCTAAACCTACTTTTTAAAAAAAAGACATTTATTTATTTATGCACACAAGAACTGGGGTGTAGGCCAGACGTACAGGAGGTGAGGGTTTACCAGAGTGGGGTGCAGAATAAGTGGGTTGACTGAAATACAGTGCTGAGGAGGGCAGCGCGTGGGTCAGAAGAGGTCTGCTGCACTATGTGGGTCACTTCCCTGGCTGGGGATCAAACTCATATACTGCAGTCACTGCTGATAGCTTCACAGTGCTGTGCTTTAACCCCTGACCTAAAACCACTATTGGTACCAAGCTTCTAATCATCTCTAAAGCCACCAGCCACCTACATCTGACTGTGCCTCAACTCAGCCCAATTCCAAAGCCACCAAAATCCCAGAATCAAGTCTCACCAACCATAGATCCAACAGCCACCCTGCAAGTGACCTTTCCTCCAATATTTTACCCTTCTTCATAACCCAAATTCAACCCCAATTGTAAGGCTAGTAAAATCTTAGCTAGAGTCCAGTCCTTAACCCAAACCAACTGCAGACATCAATGTCACTAAGAGCTCACCTTGACCCGACTCTAAAGAGGAACTCTACATCCACAACAAACCTTTCTCTAGACCTGTGTCAACACTCATCATTATCCCAAGGCCACTGTCAACCCTAACCCATTTCCCAAAGACCTCCAACTCAATTCCTACATTCCAAGCACCTCCAACTCAATTTCTATATTCCAACCTTGAAGCAAACCTACCAGTGAATCCCTCAACCTAACCTAAGCCAATTTTGATATTCACCAGTCACTCTAATCTCAACCTTGATCCTTACTCCTTTTTCAATATCATTCCAATTCCACCCCAATCCTCATGTCAATAAAATGCCACATTCATACATAAACACATCCTAAATCCAACTATGGACAGTCACTACTAGTGATACCAGCCTTGATTCTGAATTCCCTTTCAATGCCTGGGCTCAACCCAACTCCAAAGCATTCAAAACTCTAGAATTGCCCCCCACTCAACTCCAGACCAGACAGTCACTTATCTCCAATTTAACCTTTGCCCTTCCTCAATATTGATCCCCATCCCAGACTCTGCCCCAATCCTCACACCACTAAGACTCTTAAGTGAGTCCCAATTAACTCTATCTAGATGGGGGAAATGATTTCAAACCCAAGTTCAAATCCAAATTCAACATCACCACAAATATGGCTTCCAGGCCCAAGCCCAAGGCAACCTGGATCTGGCCCCACCCACCCACCTTGGCCTTGATGCAGGTCTCCACGGCTGCGTTGCTCATAGACAGTTGTATCTTGAGCTGCTCAACTTCCTTCTTCTTCTCTTCCAGTTCCTTGGCCAAGTTGTCACGCTCCTTTCGCAGTGTGGCCTTTTCCTCCAGAGCGAGCTGGGTCTGCCGGGCACATTCCGCGTGAAGCTTGGCCTCCCGGGCCTGGGCCTCCTTCTCCACCTTCTGCTTGGCCTCCTGGCTGGCCTGCAGGTTCTGCTCAACCTCTAGCTTCTGGCGCTGGAGGTCTGAGTTCTCACGAGCCACGCGTTCGATGCCAGACCGCAGGCTCCGCGCCAGCTCCTCCACCTTGGTGCTCATGTGGGTGGGCATGAGATCACACATCCTCCGGATGGTATTCACTTCTGGGTTGTAAATGCTGTAGCCTATGGTGTCGAGGGTGCGCGGAATGATGGAGTCCTTCCAGAGGTTACGCAAGTCCGTCTCAAACTTGTCCTTGTCCAGGGGGACGCAGAGGGTCTGCACCTTTTGTAGCCGATCCTCTGCCAGCTGTCGCTCTTGCCGCAGCTGCTCCCGGATCTTGACACACTCAGCCAGCTGCTCCTCTGCCACTCGCTTGCCCAGTGCCAGGCCCTCCTTTTCCTTGGTGCACATCACCTTCTCCTTTGCCATCTCCACTTCTACACTCTTGATCTTCTGGTTCATTGTGAAGACCAAGGCTAGGGGTACAGCCAGAAAGGTTGGGGACCACCAAGAGCCGGGGCAGGGAAGCCTCCACCCCACCCTCTTCTGGGAAGGCCACTCACCATCACAAGTCTTGTTATTCTCCTTCAGTTGCTCCTGGCATTTCACCTCGTTTAAGATGATGGCAGCTATGTATGGCTGGCTGTTGACGTACATCACCTACCCAGGTGGGACACCGGAAAGAGCTCAGTGAGTGGCCCCTCTCACAAGCCCCCCACGCCTGCCTGGGGCTTTGGGGCTGGGAGCCTCGAGCCCGCACCCAGGTGGCCTGGGCTGGCCCAGTTCAAGAGGGCTCAGCGCCTTATAGGGCATGTTGGCCTGGCCTTCAAAAGGCGTTACAACTGAATACTGTCTGGCATAAAAAGGAACAGATACTGACACATGATGTGACCTGGGGGAACTTTGAAAGGTTAATTCACACTCACTGTCAACTGAATTCTCTTTTTAAAGATTTATTTATTTGTGCATACAGAACTGGGATACAGGCCAGAGGTGCAGGGGCGGTGAGAGGATTCACCAGAGACAGAGTGGGGAGCAGAACAGGCAGATCAACAAAGTACACTGCTGAGGGGAGCAGCGGGCAAGACAGCAGAGGTCTGCTGTGCCATGTGGGTCACCTCTGGGGCCGGTGATCAAACTTGTGCTCAAGCGGCTGTGACTAGCTTCGTAGCGCTGTGTTTTTGTTTTTATTTTATAACAGTTTATTTTTACATCATTTTGTACTTTTTTTTTTTTCATCTCAATTGTAATCCCCACGGGTTTCCCATCACCAGGTCACCCGTGTGCCATCATCATAGTCCCTCGTAGTGCTGTGTTTTAACTTGTTGTGCCACCAGGGAGGGCTGCATTAGCAACTGATTTTTGATAAGGCTACGGTTATGGGCTGAATGATATGCCCCCACCCACCCCCCCAGATCTGTGAGTCCTAACCCTAGCACCTGAAAATGTACTTGTAGACAGGGTCTTTATAGAAGTGATTAAGATGAGGTCATTAGGGTAAGCCCTGATCCAGTAGGATTGGTTACTTTAGTTTTTCTTTTTAAGGGGAAATTTGAACATGGATTCAAGGAGAAATAGTAATCATGAAACCAAGAAGAGAGGCCTGAACACCTCCTTCCCTCACAGGAACCAGCCCTTCTGACACCTTGATCGTGTGCGCACATGTGTGTACGGAAATAGTATCTATTGTTTGAACACTGATCCAGTTTGTGGTACTTTGTTAAGGTAACTCTAGAAAATGAATGCAGTTGCCACAGTCGTGCCATGGAGAAAGAAAAGTCTTCAATTGAAGGTGTTGGATAACTGAAAGGCCACAGGCCAAGGAACAATGCTGGATGCCTACTGTGCATCATATATAAAAATTACTAAAAATGAACCAAAGCCCTAAAGAACAAAAGCTATAAAATTTCTTAGAAGAAAACCTAGTGACAAATGTGTGAAAAGACCTTCACCATTGTTAGTGTGGCAACTCCAACCGAAACTGCAGTGAGAGACTGTCTCACAGCCATTAGTGAGACCTTATATTAAAAACAAGAAAGGGGCTCTCCCAGGTGGCACCATGGGTTAAAGCGCAGCACTATGAAGCTGCCCACAGCCACTGCAGCATGAATTCGATTCCCGGCCAGGGAAGTGACCCACATGGTGCAGCAGACCCCTCCTTTCCCGCCTGCTGCTCCTCTCAGCAGTGTACTTCAGTACATCTACCTATTCTGCTCCCCACTCTGTCTCTGGTGAACCCTCTCCACCCCCACTCGCACCTCTGGCCTGTACCCCAGTTCCTGTATGCATAAATAAATAAATATTAAAAAAATAAAAAGAAGAAAGGACAGGAAGTATTGGTGAGAATGTGGAGAAATGGGAATTCTCAGACAGTAAGGTGGGCATGCGGGAAGAATGTTTCTTTCTTAGCCCTGATGGGAGAAAAACTTGAGATTCAAACCTACTACCATCAGTAGTGCAGCTCGCCAGATTGGGGTGGGGGCTGCTTCCCAGCATCAACACCCCTTCCCAAGATGGTGGGAGTATATCCTGGAGCCCAAGGAATCCCAGAGCCCTTGGAGTGAACCCTGTGGGGTTCTGGCCAAGAAGGGGTTATCAATTGGGAGAAAAGAAAAAGTGTAATTTTTCAAAATTTGAAGTTATAATGTTCTAGATTCTCAGATTTCAGATATTCTGTGATGGAGGAGTCCAGGGATCTGGGATGCCTGTGAGCATCTAAAACTTTGTGATCTTGGAATTCCTAATGGCTCCTGGACCCAATGGGCATATACATTCTAGAAGATTCGAATGGGCTCATTGTTAGGCATGCGAAATCTGAATGGGCCTGCTGGACCTGAGGGGGTCTGTAGAGGTACACAGTATTGTTCTGAGGTCTGAGGGGTGATCTGCTCCATTGGGGGCCTGAGGAGGGAAGCTCTAGTTTGGAGATGTCTAAGGGGTACATAGGCTTTCCTGCGGCCTCGGAGGCGGTCATCCCATTTTAGGAATCTGAGGAAGATCTGTCCCTCCTTGAAGGCTAAAGGGGGGAATTCACCCCATTCTTGGAGTTTGAGAGAAATGTACACATTCTGGGGAGAGACCCATCCTTCATTGGGAGATTTGAGGAGGAATTCAGGCAGTTTGGGAGACTGAGGAGGACCCATCCTTCATTGAGAACTTGCAGGGGAGGGAGATCATTCATTTTGGAGGTCCAAGGGAACCCACCTTACCTCAGGGGTTTGAGAGGGAGAGATTCACATTCCTTGGGCAGATCTGAGGGGAGCTATCATCCTCCCTACTGGCTGGGGAGCTTCATGCTGGATATCTACTTTAGAAAAACCGTATCACTGGACCCCAGGAAATAGAGAAAAATATGAAGCAATGGAGGCCTAAGATGAGTCAGCTTTCCTGAGGGGCCAGACAGGGGACCCTAGGAGGTCTGAGGCCCCAGCAGAGACCTTTCCTTCCAAAGCCCCCCACCTCAGTTAACCAGAAGAAACTGAGTTACTCCCCACCTCCAGTCTCTTAGCCAGATGCAGCCTCTACTTGGTGTCTTGGAGAGGGGTGTGTGTGTGTGTGTGTGTGTGTGTGTGTGTGTGAGAGAGAGAGAGAGAGAGAGAGAGAGAGAGGCTGACAGAGAACATAAATATCATTGGTGATTATTGAATCCAGTGAGCTTGACATGAGGGAGAGGTTAGAGGAGGCGACAGATTCCAGGAGACCTCCTAGGGTCCCCTGTTCTGGCCGCTCAGGAAAGCTGACTCATCTTAGGCCTCCATTACTTCATATTTTCCTCTATTTCCTGGGGTCCAGTGATATGGTTTTTCTAAACTAGATATCCAGCATGAAGCAAATATGGACTGTTCATTATTCATTTTACTGAGTAAGAACCAAAATGCTTTGAGTTCTTACTTAGCTGTCTCTACATAAAGTGCTTTTGCACATTAAGTCATGGCCCAGTTAATGGACAAGATGTCCAGTTAAACTTGAATTCTAGAGAGATAGTGAACAAAAAACAATTAGTATAAACTTTGCATGGGATGGACATACACTAACAAAAATCTGTATTGCTTATCTACACAGGCACTTCAGGTGAAAGGAAAGTCTGTGCCCGTCCCATCTCATGGGCAAAGTTTGGAGGGGTGAAGTTTAGCCCAGGTGCCCAGGGCTTGAGCCCCACCCCAGCCTTACCAGTTCAGTCTGGCACTGGCGGAAGCTGGCATTGATTCTGTCGAGGTCTCGGCGGGTGCTGCTATTCAGCTGCGACAAGGTTTCCTTCTGTTTGGTGGTGATGTTGAGCATCTTGGAAAAGTTGGCCTTGGTGGCTGTGAGCTCTACCACCTGGGCATGCAGAGTCTGCACGCGAAACTTGGAGGCCTGCAGGTTGGACTCGGTGCTCTCGTGTACATTGCCGTAGACCATGAAGAGGACGAGGCCCAGGATGATGAGGAACTGGATGAGCGAGACGAAAAGGAAGAAGTAGCGCAGGTAATACCAGCAGCCCCGGGAGCGGCTGCCTGCCTGCAAGTAGGGCCCTCCGTGCTCCGTGGCCAGGCCCATCGCTCGCTTGCTCACTCGTGGGGCTCCGAGGGTGCACGCCCTGCTCAGTGGCTCGGCTCTGCGTGGCAGCCTTCTGGACACTGCCTGCTGAGGTGAGGCGGGAGTGTTTATATTACTTCTCTTAATACTTCCTCTGCCTGGCTCCTTCCTGGCCAGGAGGAAACGGGGCTGCGGGTTATCACAGCCATTCAGTGAAGGGTGGGGGGGCCCAGGCACAGCTCTGCCTCTCTGATTAACACTGGGTGGGGCACTAGCTGCTTTGCGGACTATTCTCTCCTTTCTTTCATCAGCATTGTCTTGGGGTGGGGGGCTGAGGGCTGCAGGAGAAAAGAAGGGACTGACCCTGGTGCTGATGTCCACAGGGCAGGCCATATCTCCTGCAGGCCTGGTGATTCTGATTTGCCTCCCAGGCAGGGCCGCTTAATTGCTAATTGCACTAAATCAGGCTCCGTCTTATCCCCCCATCCCTATGCGTGGTGGAGGTGCAGCTTCTGCCCCGAGGCCCATTCCTGCGGGCACCTAAGTGCCCGGGAAGCAGCAGCAGCCGCAGCAGCAGCAGCAGCAGCAGCAGCAGCGCAGGCAGTGAATCTGGGTCTCTGGCTGTGGAGAGCAGCAGGGCCTGAGGGAGCCCAGGGGAGGGGCTTCTTTTGTTTGTGCCTTGGTTTCCCCTCTGTGGGATGATGATGCCTGGGTCACAGGGTGGGGAGAAAGGATTTGCTGTGGTTATTGCATTGTTTCCTGCTGGCAGCTTATCTGGCAGCTTATCTGTCCAGGAGATGGAGAGCAGATCCCTGGGTGAGAGGCACAGGAGTGCGGGGAGGGGTCCTCAGGGTAGTAAGCGTCTAGGAGGCAGAAGTTGGGTCGGGAAGGAGGAAGTTCCCAGGGGTGGGCAGGAAACCCCTGTCTGACTTTTGGCCTTTGCAGCTACCCGGTGATTCCTGATTTCTGATCCTTCCCAGGCTAGTGAAGGGAGGACCCTGGGGGCCGCAAGTGATGCCCAACCAGTTATTTCTCTAGGTTGACCAGGCCTACCCAGACCCCCACCCCAACAATGTGGAGTGGGAGAGGGACATTTTCCATTTTCCACCTCCATTATTGGGGGCCATGAAGGTAGAGTGAATATGAGGTTATATGTTAGTTAGGTCTTGGAGTTGAGACCAGGCTGTGTGACCTGGGAAAGGGACTTCTCTTTGTCACCATGCCTGACTTACACTCAGCCTTAATAAATGGTGGTATCTTTAAGGTGGGAGGGACTGGATCATGTGCCGTTTTTTGATGCTAGGCTGAGGACCTGAGACACTGTTAGGATAACCCAGGTCTGTAGGAGCACTGTGGGGACAGAACGTGACAGGGGTAGCACTTTGGGACCAGGGTCCAAGTTCAGGAATGGGGAAAATGTTTGGACCAATAAGGGGTGTGACATTCCTGGTGTGTACTTAGGATCCAGGCTACTAAAAAAAAAAAAAAAAAAAATCTAGGCTCTTTGTCATGATATATCCATGTGCTGCATATATGTACATATCAACACAATGTCTATCCTCAAGGAAAAGCAAAACAACCATAAATTCCCAGAAAAGTGAAAAGCCACCCTAATGGCCCAGATGTGCTACAAATTTGAGCAACTGTTCCAGTGTATGAAGAAGAGTTACAGACATACACACTAATGTCATTGCATCAATTGTTTCTTTTTGGCAGTATAATCTCTCACATTTTAAAAAACATTTTGCAAAGAAGAACTGGGGTGTAGGCCAGAGATATGAGGGTGAAAGTGTTACATGGCAGACAGTGAGGGGGACCCCTGAGCCCCCAAACCTGCCTGCTCTAGATAGTTTCTGCCATCTGTCGCATCAAGACAAAACAAGACTAATGGAAGTGTTGGGAGTGACAAAGTGCGGAGATTTACTGAGGGACTGGATAAGGGCAGTAATAAGTTAGGCCTTGCATCCAAGGGTGATAAGGTGGTAATAAACTGGGCCTTACATCCAATTAATGGGGCCTTGCGTCTGGGATGGGACTAGAAGAAGGTGATAATGAACTGGGTCTTACATCAAGGGACATAACAATGAGTCATTCCTTTGGAATCTGAGTTTAGGATCTATATAAGAGACCCTTCCCCCTTATTGAGTTGGCAGTAGCTGCCAACCCCACTCTAGGGGCTCCATCTCAGCTGCTGTCCGGGAGCAATAAACTCTGCTTGCTCAGCCTTTCTGCCTCCTGCCTTCCTTTCTTGCGGCCGGTCACAGAAGTTGGGACAAAATAGAAAGGAACTTCAATACAGTGATTATACAACACAGAAGATAAAGAATATAATTTCTAAATCAAACACCTGAAGTTACCCATCCCCTCGTGGGCAAAAGTCCACCCAAAAGGGATTGGCCCAAAGCAAGGCCTGAAAGCCAGACCCAAGACTATAGCACCTTCTGGCTGGGACCCATGGAAAAGGGTCAGAATGGCCAGATAAGTCTGGGAGGAAAAGAGCAAAATCAAAATTAGTATAAACACTGCCATAGTCAACCTCCCCATGGGTCTCTCACCCACGTCTGTTTCAACCAGTCCAGGGCCAAGAAATAAACATAGTTTGTTCACATGTCTCCCTGCTCCATGTGGCTTCCTCAGGTCTCCTTCTGGATCTCCATCCTGCTTCTTTCCTCCTCAGATTCCTTCTCTTCTTTTCTCTGCTCAGCTCCACCCTCCTTCTGGGTGGGGCAGGGAACCAGGAACTTCCCTTCTTGGGGACGACCCTGTTACAAAAAGACCCACCAGAGACAGAGTGGGGAGCAGAGCAGGCAGATCCACTGAAACACACTGCTGAGGGCAGCAGCGGGAGAGACAGGAGAGGGCTCCTGTGCCATGTGGGTCAGCTCCCTGGCATGGGATCGCACTGAGACTCAACCCCTAGGCCACCATGGAGGCCCTGATTGCATGCCTTGGATTTGTAATGTTTCTCTTCCAAATAACTGGTTTTAATTATTGATCTTTTTAAGTGGAAAGATATCATGATGGAACTTATTTTTTGCTCAATATTATGTCTTCCAGATCTGCTGTTTCCTTGTGCCTACTGTTGAGGTTTTCGCCATCTACATTACCATAATGACAGTCATTTACACTGTTTAGAATTTTTTTGTTTCAATGAACAAAATAAGAGTTAATATCAAATCCTCACAAATGAAATATGTGGATTCCAGAGCAGTTACATTTTGACAGCTGTCACCAACTTGTCCTTCAAAGAAGTTGTTTTCCTTGACACCCCTGCCAGCAATATCTAAAAACACTTTCCGAGTATAAACTTTCTGTGTCCCTGGACAGAAAATTCCAGTGGGAGGAGGCGAGCAGCCCATGGATGAGCAAGGGCCCCAATGTGAGTGTTTTTTTCCTGAAAACAATTTGTCACATTCACCGGAAATGTTGGGCATGAATCTGTGAATTCCTTTGGAGGGTCATCACAAAAGGAGCCTTTCATTTTACACTCCCCCCCCTTTTTTTTCTACATTAAAAACAATTTTGGGTTGAAAAACCCAAAACAATTGGGTTTTCTTTGTTTAGGCACAGAAGGGAAAGCTGTCATGAGGAAGTCAGCTTTGTGTCACACCCTGAAAACGTGACACTGAGGTTTCTTGTGGAGGCGCAAATTTTAAAATTTCCCATAGAACTTCAGGAAGGTCCTTGGGAAGTGATATTTCTGGTCCAGAAAAAAAAAAAAATCAGTGAAGTTCAGAAAACCCTTAACTTTTATGTCACTGAGTTGGGTTTTGTTATATTTGGTGAAATCAAGTTTTGTGTTTGCAGGTAACAGAGAAGGCAGTGACCCCTTTGGAGGGAACAGCTTGCCCTCATTTGGCCTCTGTTCCCGGGTGAAAAGAGGTGACCCATTTCTTACACAGACTGAGGAGCTGACCCAAGTGCCCTTCAGCCTTAGTTGTGTCCAGGCTAGGGCAGGGATCTAGGGACCTGTGACAGGTCAGGGGTGGAGACACAGAGATAAAGAGTGATTTGGAGACAGACTGAGTGGTAGTTAGCCAAGGTGGGGAAACGGGAGCAGAGAGCAAGAGCAAGTCAGGGGCTGCCCTGGGGGTGGGTGACCGGTGGGCTCCTGCCTAGGAAACCTGTTTGTTCCACTTTACTTTTTTTTTTTTTTTAAAGATTTATTTATTTATGCATACAGAACTGGGGTATAGGTCAGAGGTGCAGGGGTGGTGAGAGGCTTCACCAGAGACAGAGTGGGGAGCAGAACAGGCAGATCAATGAAGCACACTGCTGAGGGGAGTAGCGGGCGGGTCAGGAGAGGTCTGCCACACCATGTGGTCACCTCCAGGGCAGGCGAGGATCGAACTCATGCTGTAGTACCTTTAGTTTCTTAGTGCTGTGCTTTAACCCTCTGCGCCACCAGGGAGGGCCCCCACTTTACTCTTTTTAAAGGATTAAAAAAAGATTTATTTACGCATGCATGTAAGAGCTAGGGTGTAGGCCAGAGGTGTGTGTGTGAGCAGATTCACCAGAGACAGTGGGGAGTTGAACAGGCGGATCTACTGAGTCACACTGCTGAGGGGAGCAGCAGGCGGGATGGCTGTGAGATGGCAGAGGCCTGCTGGCCCAGTGGGTCGGCTTCTTGGCGGGAATGGAACTTGTGTTGCAATGACTGCTTACAGTTTCGTTCTGCTTGCGCCACCAGGGAGGCCCTGTTTGTTCCACTTTGTCCCAGCCAGGGGATTATTGTCCCTGTCATTCCCAGTCCTTATCTACTCTCTGTCCTGTGGCCTCCTCCAGGATTCAAAGCCCTCAGCCTCTTCCCTCCCTCCCTCCCAGCTGTCCTTGACAGGGGTTCTGCCTTCCGGTCAGTCTGAGTGCCTTTCCTGCTCACACACCTGCTGTGCCCCACCATTTCCCTTCTCCAAGGGGTCTGACTTGAGGGGATCTGGTGAGTGAGGACCGGATGAAGCAAGCAGAATAAATGATAATATTTTTGGGACCCATTTACAACCCTGAGCCCAGCCCTAGAAGTGGATCAGCTCTTCACTTCACAGCTCTGCAATATAAGGGGTGGTCTTACGTTCCTGGCTCTAGACAAGGCGAGGACAGTTTCCCAACCTCCATC